GTTTCGAAATCGGGAAAAAGTCAGATTATAATTATTATTAAACATCATCACAGTATTCTGTTGAATCAATGCCAATTTTATATTAATCTTTCTTGAAAGTAAAGTGTATTATTTTAAACGAATAATAACAATTTTATAATTGGAAACATAAAATTTTATACTGTAAACTCCTCACTAACTGAGTCTCTCGCAAACTCGGATGATTTTTAATTCGAGTTAGCAGGGGCTAACTGCACTTTCGCGTTTATTAAGAATTAAATACTTCTTGCAAAATTTAAAATGTATAACGTAGAACTTATATAGAGTGCTAGCTGCAAGGACCCGCTTCGGTCCTTGCAGCTAGAAAATTTATTCAGACCTTCTACAGAGTGTACTTATCCATATAAATAAAAGACTTGGCGCTGAAGAAACAGAATATTAGGCGCTTAGAAGGAATTACATTACGTATTTGAAGGAACGTAGATCTCGCGAAGAAGAGAAAAACATTTGTGTAATTATAGAAAACGTATTAACTAATATAATACAACCCTCTAACTGCTTATTTTAAAAAGAGAGTCGCGAAGTAATGATCGAGTAATGGGTACGGAATTACACTTCCATTCGAGGAACTACGTTTCATAAAATTAATATCTTCAAATTCGTTTTCGGATTCAGTATTTTCGTTTTCTTTATCTAACCTTTTCTGGTTGTTTCTTCTGAAACCGCATTTACTTGGCTTCACGTAACTTTTCTTCACTTTCGGATAAGTTGATAGAATAAAGGTCTGAAATGATTCGTTATCTTCAATACATCTGTTAATATAAAATGTTATTTGAAAATTTATATTATTAGGACTATAAATTAGAATACCGGAACAAGTTTCCATCCTCGATCTGTGCAAAGATTCAGTTGAGGACTATATCTCATGGATTTTCTCGAAACATCAATTGCATTCTTGTTCCACGGATAATCGTAAAGGAATTCGAAGAAACTTTCATTCTTCCCAGTAAATGGAGAAATTAGAAACTTGTCGNAAATAAAAAACCATTAAGATTAATTTTTATTTATTTTAAGCATTTTATAATAGTTTAATGTATTGAAAAAATACGTAACAGTGAAATAAATTACAAAAGACAGCGTATTATATCTGTATTTATTTAATAAATTCTACGACAATTTATAAAATTTCAAAATCTATTAAGTTTATACAAATCGTTATATTGATATTTTTTAAAATGAACATTACAATTTAAAATGTATAGAGGAAAAAATATTGTTTACATTCTGGTAGAAAAATGTTAATTGTGAGCAAAATATAATTATTTTAGAAATTTAAAAGAGTTCAAAGCATTTTCAAAAAATGTCTCGAACATTCCTACAATGTATTTTAAATGTAAAAATAACCTTTTAGTTACATTCAAAAATACATACTTAATGTAAAATAATATTTATTGTGAACGACACAAAAAATACCTGAAATATTAATGGGAGAAAGTCAGATTATAATTATTGTTAAACATCATCACAGTATTCTGTTGAATCAATGCCAATTTTATATTAATCTTTCTTGAAAGTAAAGTGTATTATTTTAAACGAATAATAACAATTTTATAATTGGAAACATAAAGTTTTATACAGTAAACTCTCCACTAACTGAGTCTCCCGCAAACTCGGATGATTTTTAATTCGAGTTAGCAGGGGCTAACTGTACTTTCGCATTTATTAAGAATTAAATACTTCTTGCAAAATTTAAAATGTATAACGTAGAACTTATATAGAGTGCTAGCTGCAAGGACCCGCTTCGGTCCTTGCAGCTAGAAAATTTATTCAGACCTTCTACAGAGTGTACTTATCCATATAAATAAAAGACTTGGCGCTGAAGAAACAGAATATTAGGCGCTTAGAAGGAATTACATTACGTATTTGAAGGAACGTAGATCTCGCGAAGAAGAGAAAAACATTTGTGTAATTATAGAAAACGTATTAACTAATATAATACAACCCTCTAACTGCTTATTTTAAGAAGAGAGTCGAGAAGAACTGATCGAGTAATGGGTACGGAATTACACTTCCATTCGAGGAACTACGTTTCATAAAATTAATATCTTCAAATTCGTTTTCGGATTCAGTATTTTCGTTTTCTTTATCTAACCTTTTCTGGTTGTTTCTTCTGAAACCGCATTTACTTGGCTTCACGTAACTTTTCTTCACTTTCGGATAAGTTGATAGAATAAAGGTCTGAAATGATTCGTTATCTTCAATACATCTGTTAATATAAAATGTTATTTGAAAATTTATATTATTAGGACTATAAATTAGAATACCGGAACAAGTTTCCATCCTCGATCTGTGCAAAGATTCAGTTGAGGACTATATCTCATGGATTTTCTCGAAACATCAATTGCATTCTTGTTCCACGGATAATCGTAAAGGAATTCGAAGAAACTTTCATTCTTCCCAGTAAATGGAGAAATTAGAAACTTGTCGTCTCTTAAATGGTAAAATATCGAATTATTTTATCGAAAAATTTTTAATTTTTGTAGAATTTTGAGATGCTTACTCAAATATTCGTTTAACTCCAAGAGAACTAAGAAAATTCTTAGGAAGAGGGCAACTTGCAGTCAATGCTAAACTTATTCTTGGATAGTACATTAAAAATACGATGCACATTTCTTCTCTCGAAGATAAACCACCCTAAAAAAAGTATAAATTAATTAGTTATTAACATTTATAAATTTACAAATAAAAAGTATTAATTGAATCTATATAGTTCCATACAAAGGTTACTCTGCTTCTTTTACGAGAATCGTAGGCACATTCAACAATAAGATGATCGTCCTATAATAAAAATTACATATAAAATATATGAAACCTCTACATTATATTGTAAAAAATATGTATTTTTATATACTTACAGGCAGGACAGTACGAATTTTCGAAAGCTTACGAAAATGCTGTAAATAGTTATAATTCAAGTTTTAATACAACACGATGTTTGTTATTACTAAAATCATACAAAATAAACACCTGTAAATTAAAATCGTAATTAACATCGGATGCAATCGGTTCGAGTTCTTCATTACCACGAAAATGCCTGACAATTATCCTTCTTCCTGTAAACGTAAATCAATAATATATAAAGTGCACCCAATTAACAATTATATAAGACAAATTATACAATAATTTTCAACGAAAATATTATAATAGAATGACTATTGAAATATTTTTAAATTAATATAGGAAGTATTGGTATTAGTGATACTACTGTAGAATTTAATAATTACATTTTTTTTAAACTTTAGAAGTATATTTTAATAAGAATATATTACATAGTTTTTGATTATTTACAAAGAAATCGAATAATAACACTTATGTGAAATAACTGAATATAATTTTTAAACTATATTTGAGTTTGTATAAGACTATTCTCAAGTATATTGCGCTCGAGTATGATACATTTCAATATCGGCATAATTCACGCTGGTTGTTGTGATCGGCAAACTCATTCCAAATCAGCTCGATTGCCCATTCACATGCACGTTCCTAAGTAGCTAAGAATCTTGACCGTGAGCTAGACTTAAATCATTGAAGAAGGTAAGTCATTGATCTTTTTTTTAATGAGGTTCTAGTTAATACATTTTTATCACTAACTCCTGAGCACTTTTTTGACTGAAAACTACCTTACTAGTCTCAAACTTTTACATCTTTAGATACTTTTTCAATGAAAACATATTCTGTTTTGCTTCAGAGCATTTTTCAACACGCTGGTCAACGTTAAGTAGGTTTAAAGTCTCGTAAATCGTATCACTTTTGTTATTTTTCAGATTTTTATTGGAAACTATAATAAAGAAACGACGTCTAATAGGTGTAGATTGTACCATAGTCTTTAGGCATAAACATCGACAATTTAAAATATGTAGTACAGGTCAAAATATAGAGTGAGAGATGCAAAATGCTGGAAATTATAATCATGTATTATAAATTGTATCATTAAGTAAAGCAATGTTTTAATAAAATAAGTAAATAAAAAATCTACCAACGAGTTGCATAGCTTTCCCGGCTTTTATGAGATTTTATTATAAAAACTTTATACGTTTTTAATTATTATAAAATGGCAACACTTATAAGTGTAATAATGTAGAGTGTATTATTTATTAGTACAATTAAGAGGGTTGTCAGAGAATATTCATTTTGTGATTTCGAGTTATGTACTACTGTACGACAGCGTGACGAAGCATTACAGTGGGTGGTATGATAGTGAAATGTGTTACCTGATGTATTGATGATTCGTTATTGTTCATATAAAAATTTTATATTAAAATTGTGACATAACAATTAATGAAGTGTAAACAAAAATACATTCTTAATATAAAATATTAATTTTTACCATACCTAGGAAATGTGAATGAAGCAAAATACTAAAGACTTTGATACCTCCTGGAGGAACACGCTAGAAAATAGAAATGATTAACAATTGTGTAATCTTAAGACATTTTTGTATAATCTCAAAATTTTTGTGATTCTACCTGTTTTAAGCAAGAAGGAGCTACGTGTCCAGATATAACAAATTCTTTCTGTTTCGGTGGCACAAACATGCAAGGATACCATAAGTTTCCCGTAGCTAACACCGAACTGTCGTATTTTCTGAGTTTTGGTGTATATGTAATTCTTAATCCCGAATTATCGACAGCTGAAAAACAGAGTTTAAACATAAATTTTTTAAAATTAATAAAATATTATAGTTTCTAAATAAAATTTACCTGTTTTTAAAGACGGATTATCATAATGTACTTCCAATAGAAACCATTCAGCATCAGGCAGACCCAAAGGATGACCGGCATTTTCAGGAAAATAAAATTTCTGAAAACGATGAAACTTGGCAGTAAAATTTTTTTCTTTTATAAAATTATATATATCAAAATAATGAATGAATGAGTGAGTGATACTCACGCTACCTCCAAATGCCCAAGCTAAATTAGCAGTTAAACAAAATGGAAATTTTGGAACTAAATTTTTAGTGTAGCATCTATGATATGATTTATCTGCATATTTTAATACAGTTTCGTTTGTAACGCCCGTACATTCGTATAAAAGCATATGATGAACAACGCCTTCGTGTCCCGGTTGAATAAGTGGACCAAACTATTAATAAAATTTGCCAATTTACACACAATTAAATATATAATGCAGCTATTTTTAAAAACGTTTACTTCTATAATATGATTTTTTCTATCAAGATGAGGAACTCTGATAAATGTACAAAAGTATTCAGTGTCGCTTCCTTCCGGAATTGTAACCTGCAATGTGTAAATTAAATAATATAATGAATATTTACGCTTAGCAAATAATATGAAAACCGTTAAATTATTCTTACATTTGGACTTCGAACATCCCAATGATAAATGTCTTCTGGTTTCTCTGTAAATTTGTGTTCAACTTCCTCTTTCAGAAAAACACTTTTAGTTCCTCTAGTGGTTGGTCCGTGATAACTAACTGCATCTATAGAATTGGGATTTTGGTGACTGTAAGCGTATATCAGTCTCATAGTTTCTTCCTAAACACAGGGAAAAATATATTTAATGATAAGTAAGTAAAGGTAATTATAATGCCTGTGGCATTTGTAGATAACTAACCGTAATGACTATATCCTGGTCATCACACGTGTCCAGCAATCTTTTAAATCGTAACTTTGTATGAGTATCGTTTTTCTCGTGCCATAACAATTCCCAATCCTGTTGTTCGTCAATTTTCGGTTGAAACTTTCCTTCGGCGTGTCTATCCTAAAACTCAATATAATTATTCATCGAATAAAAATATTAGCATAATTACTGAAGTAGAAAATAAAATATTTCGTATAAGACTATAACGTGTCTAAGAAACAACAGACGATATGTGTATCAGTATGAAATATTTATAGAATTATTTTAATAGTCTCGTAAACAAAATTTGTTTTTTATATATTGACAGACCTTCATTAAACACAGCCATTCATTACAGTTAACAAGTACGTTTAATGCAGTTTGCGAAGAAAAGAATTATTTTAAAATCATTACCGTGTAGCAATTCGTTAATTTGTGAAATTTTAAAATTGTTAAATTAATATAATCGCTTTGTATTAGAAAGAAACAGAAGTTGGAATGGCGGTTTGCATTGCGATCAATCAGATACCAGTTTTTATATCTAATTACACAACAACTTGCTGCTTTAATCTGTAGCCAACCTTGATATTAAATAAGTAATTATTAGAATTCACCTACTTTCTCGTTTCACGCCTTTTGTGTGTTAGTTTTTCCAAAAGAAACGTCTAAAGGAAACATCCATTGTGTGAAGAAATACGCGGAATTGGGGAAAACGAAAACTATCGTTTAGTAGAATTCAGTCAAGTTATGCTTAATTTATATTACTTTCACTTAAGATTAAGTTTTATTTCAGATGGTTGAAGGTAAAATGTACATGCAGTGGATATTTCTAGAACGCTGTTTTTAAATACATTAATTTAATAACTGCATCATCAAAGCCTAGCCAAGGGCTCTTTTCTGTGAACTTCTCTGTTTTTTCTTGGCTGGTAGCCATAGAAAGAAGACAACGTCAGTCAGGGCCGTCGAAAAGAGAATTCTAAGGATTTTTCATCCGGCCCATACATAACATAGGATGGCATATTAGTTCCTATCAGTATAAATGAATGTCACTTTTACTAACAAAAAATAAAATTTCTTAATACTGCTTTTATTTCCCGGCTGTTATGTACACATAACAAAGGAAGGTATTCCAATAATGTCAAATTTCACCCTCCGGGTTTTTTTTTACAAAACTTCACGTGTCGAAACCTCTTCAAAAAAGTTAAAAAATTGGAAAAAAAATTCGTTCGTGTGGATGGGGGAACTTAATGAAAATTTTATTCTAATAAAATAAAATTGAAGACAAAACTGTCCAAAAAGGATCACCATTTATTACTTGTGTTCCAAGACTAAAACATTTTCGGCGACTGACATTCCTTTTTAGGCGACTTGTCGCCGTAAAGTTTACAAAAAGTCCTTTTAAAAAACACAAAACACATCGAATTAAAATTTTAAAAAATTTCTGAAAAAGGAACTGGTGATATACAGTTGTTTTGCTTACTTCCATCATACCTTCTTTTGGGTTTCTTCTTCTTTTTATCTACTAAAGATTAGCGCTGGAAAATGTAGATTTTTAGAGAAGTTGTCCCCTGGTGAGGATATATGTAGAAATCACCAGGGGGAAACTTTTCTAAAAAATCTACATTTTCCAGCGCTAATCTTTAGTAGATAAAAAGAAGAAGAAACCCAAAAGAAGGTATGATGGAAGTAAGCAAAACAACTGTATATCACCAGTTCCTTTTTCAGAAATTTTTTAAAATTTTAATTCGATGTGTTTTGTGTTTTTTAAAAGGACTTTTTGTAAACTTTACGGCGACAAGTAGCCTAAAAAGGAAGGTCAGTCGCCGAAAATGTTTTAGTCTTGGAACACAAGTAATAAATGGTGATCCTTTTTGGACAGTTTTGTCTTCAATTTTATTTTATTAGAAATAATTCTCCATCGGACGAACTTTTACACAAGAGAAAATTTTATTCCTTATTAACACTCACAATTTCTGAAAAAAGTCATTTCCAACTCTCAAAATTAAGTTTTTTTGCCTTTGTATAATAATTAATAACACATGTTATATTTTTTTAAAATAAAATTTAATAAAAGAAGCTTCAACTTCAACGCAATTTTATTTTAAAAAATTAATCAAAATAAATTTAAAAAAAACTAGATTAAAACATGCGTGTAGTAGATTTAGATTTTATCTAAGGAAATTTTTCTACAAAGGAGTGTGAAGCTGTAACAATATAACTTTACTCCAATGGCGTCCGACAAAAGAGCCTGATGCAAACTTTTCGGGTGAAGCCGGAAAAGTCACGCAACACATTGCTGGATTTTTTTTATTAATAATGAAACATACTCTCTAATCCCGTGCTCCATATAAGAGTCCGGATCAAGTTGAATAGACTTCTATAAAAATATGTTGCAAGCTTCTTGTTTTGTACATTACCGTATTTTGAGTTGGGCAATATATTTCATTGAGTTATCGCAACAAAAATATCGTGCTGACTAAAGGATAAGTTATCTCCAAAGTGAGAAATAATTCTGATATGGAAACATTGTTCTTAAGGTGTTCATTGATCTCCGAGCGGTATGCAATGTGACTCCATTTTGTTGAAAATAAACCTTTGTAGGTGAATAATGTTTAGGTCGCATAATGCTAGAAACATGTACTTAGTTATAATCTGTTGTGACCAGTAAATGGCCATTTTCTTCCTCAAAAAACAAAAACAAAAAAAACGACTAATTATTCCAAAGGTAAATATTGTTTTGTCTAGACAGAATAAGAGTATACAACAAAAGCAAATAATTAACATATATAAAATAGGATAGGCAATATTTATGGCCATGGCATTTTTGAAACCGTGCCAGTAATTGTTTAGTAATTCGAACACAAATCATTTATTGTATTCATTCAGACACTTGGCAAATCTCATCAATAAATTTTATTTAGTTGAAGTTGAGCCCGCCCACTGTCTACTACACAGTCACATGACAAGTAGGCCACCTTGTGGCAACGTGTTTAAAATATTTGACATAGGAATATGTTTTAAAAAATTTTAATTTTATAATATATTTAGCCAGTTTTCGTTTATTTTAATACTTATGGACGTTTTAATGAGTTACTCGTTCATTATTAAACCTCTGAATGCATCGCGTAAGCAAATGCATTGCGTTTCTTTGCTTACCGTATAAAAAACTCGCAAGTTTGTCGAATATTAGTGCAGCATCTTTATTAGGAAATAATTACATCTTTTGACTTTATTATAACACATGACTTTATTATTAATACTAAATTGAAGTCATTTCATTTTGATGTATTACATGCATACGGGCAAGTTGAAGATATAAAGAAGTTATATCAAATTTTTGAATGTCTTTACCCGATCTCACAATATGGCTCGTTTTGAGCATGTTGAAGTTGCAATGTCGGTGATTGTATCAAGACAAATATATGCAACGCCTAGACAGTAGTATTTATGCGATTTTTCCATTTATTTCTTGACCATAACATTACGCAGATGAATTCTAAATTTTGTCAAGTATTACTGAACACGCCATTATTAAACCTCATGCCAAGTATCACGTTTAAAGACAGTTCTAAATTCTTATTAGTGTCTGGATTGACCTGGAAAAAATGGTTAGCCTTCTACAGGCACACTATTGAATTACAGTATATTATATGAAACTGATGAGGATAGGAAATGAAGTTATATATATAAAGAAAACGAAAAATTACTGTTTTATTCCGCATTGTAAGTTCATATAGTTAGCGTAGTGCACATTACATTTAGGTTACTACTAGCTTCATCTTTGAAAGATCACAAATACGCTACTGAAAACCTTTCTTAATTCTTGTTACATCCATGGATACTAGGCCTAAATACTTTTAAAAATTATCAACGAATAGCTAAATATTATGCTAACTTTAGTATTGAAAATGTTCAAAAAATTACTGTTTAATTCACAGTAGTGAATACTATTTTAAATATACACAACAGCATATAGAGTATGTTTATGCTATCTCGTGTGTGCAAAATCAGCAATACGTAAACTAAATATGTTCTTGTAATAAAATCGTTTATAAATCCCATATTTGTACTATATGTCTTTATATAAAATTATGATATTATTCTATAGTTATGCTAATTTTCTTATGTTTCTGTTTAATTAAGATAAAGAAATATATATCCGATCTCATTGAGGTGCAAAAAAGTTTACAGAGTTCGCACCTTCATCTTATTGAATCAAGGCACACGAACAAAAATGTCGTCACCTCGAGAATCTTAGACGTATTTCCTCCCAACCTGCCTTCTCCGACAGCCTACAAGACTCGAGTGCTCACACCAATAACTTATAATTAAGGATAAGACATCTAGGCACTAAAAATCGTAATAATTTATGAGTTATCACTTATATAACTCATAACTTACATGATTTTTATAACTATTATATAACTTTTAGTGTCTAGATGTCCTTGCTCTACTTATAATGAAGATTTTTTTATACTGTTCGCTCCTCTTGCCCAAGTGTGCTTACGGATTGTCTGATAAACAGATCTTAAATACCGCATAAATTTATTCAGTAATATTTACGAATCTCTTACTAATATATTTATTTTTTAATTCTTTTGTAAAAATTGCAAGCAATAAAATATTAGCGTTACGAATTGGTGTCAGAATCACGTTGGTTATCGTGACATAACATATTGATAACTTCAATTAACCAAATTACTTGAACACACTTCTTAAAATTTAGAAAAGTTCTAGGTACTTTATCTAAAAGAATGTATTTTCATTTACATACGTGAAACATCGCTTGGTTATCGTTAATCCATCCAATAACTATATCACTGCCTTTCATGCCTCCGTTTGAGGAGATTCCGAATCCGACCCATCCATTAGTCGCCACTTCCACTTGGAAAGTGATGGAATCGTCGTACATGGACCACCAAAGCTCATAATTAGAGTCGAATTTTAAATATCGTTTCCAGTTTTCCGCAGAAATCGAAGACGAAAATAAAAGGAACGAAGTGAAAATTCCGATGGCAATCATGTTCGCAATACTGAAACGTTATAAGGAAAACCAGTTTTTATATTTGATTTATACACATTCATTGACGTCAATAATTTGATCATTTCTCAGTTACGTTTATTGTTTGCGTATCTCTTCTTAATATATTGAGTAGTACATTATAAGTTTAATATAATTTTTAGGAAAATTTTATCTTCACAGCAAAAGTTTTCTATAGTGAATTCGAAATGTCTCTCTTTTTGTAAAATGTAACTGAAGGAATGAAGGCAAGGAGATCGATTATTATTATTTTATTTTTCAATTAAAATAATCGATATGTTTAATATGAGACAAGGATAATAATTGTAATACTTAACGAGCAATTATTGGGTTGCAATTTTGGAAAATTTGTAGACCTATAAATTCTCACTGTCATCCGTCCGTCCGATGTCTGTGAATATGAGACAAGGATAATAATTGTAATGTTTATGTTTAATCTCGAGAAGTGGATAAACTTAGATACATAAAATCCGAGACCATATACGGAAAACGTAGATACAGGAGGCCTCGATTAATTAAAAACAAACTTCCGATGCAAACTGAACGTCACGTTATTTTAATTCAAACTTTTTCTCTGAAAGGTGTTAGATGACCGTCATGACTCCATTGCTAATGGAAAAGTCTGACGTACAGGGGCAAGACACTGCACTACTAATTTCAGGTGGAGAGTACAGTCGACCCCCTATATCGCGGTAGATACGTTCCGCTTTATAAGAATTTCGCGTTGTAGGAATCTTCAAATACATGAGCCAATCACAGCCCGTCATGTGTGCAGTTTATGGACTACGGCTGTTTGAAAGGTTTTCTTCCATAAAATTAATCGATTCTAGACTAATTTGACTCAACATTTCCAAAATACGTATATTTTTTTGGAAATAATCCGTATAAACTACGCTATAAACAAAAAATTGAAGGATTACTTACCGAGTGTGCACCATTCGACATCGCCGTTGCTGAAGCTTGTTTTCGTCGCGGAACAGCTCAGCAAACCGCGGCCGCGATTTCTGATGTTATTTTTCTGCGAAAACTTCGTTGAACTTTGGAGACATCATTAATATAAATAATTTTAATCGCCGTTGAATAAGGAAAGTTTCTTTCACACGAAATGTATAAAATTACAGCACTGTACTGTGTGAGATCCGAAAGGCCATGGGTCTAATTTATGAATTTTTATTAATAATGGTAATATATCGACACAAAATATTACTTCATTTTTTGTGAAAAACTAGTGTTTGGACGTGGGAAAAAACCAGATAACAGATGTTACTTCCGTTCACAGAAGAGAACATCCTCTGACTTTCCCTTATCTGGTTAAAAATCTCACTCAGATGGGAAATGGTTACCCCTCATTCATCCCCCTTTTGTCCGTTCTCATGAAAGAGTTACTGGCCGATGATTGGTCGAAATTCAGGAGATATAAGGGGAATTTAGTCCGAATTCGGGGAGTTCTTCGACAGATCCTGAGCGTCAAACTCCACACAGTTTTCCTCCTGATGACCAACGCCCATAAACGAGACTCATAGACTAAGTCCCGAGTCTGAACTTAGTGAAGATACTTTTCTTTGTGCACGTATTGATCTCCTGTACGAAAAAGTAAATGAACTCTATCTACAAGGTGTCCCTTACCGACAGAGAAGAAGACGAACGTCAACTGAATCAGGTTGTATGTTTTATCACGAATTTTGTGAGCTCTCTCTCTCGATCGCGCATCAGTATAGAATAAGTCTAAGCCAATATCGTGTAATCTAATTGTCGTTTTATTATCCCTCGTTTATTGATGTTTGTATTCGTTTTGTTTTTGAATTATTAAATTTACTCTTGTTAAATTTACTTAAATGGCTCTTAAATTGATTCCGAATCAGATCGCAAACGCGTGTTTGTCCGCGCAACGATAAATTGACAAACTGGTGTCGGGAACTTGACGAGCATCCGAACTTAGCCGTTCGGATCATATAGCGATTATCGCCCTCCTATAAAAAGTTTAGAGAGCCGATCACACGATCGTGCGCCAGTAAGTGATATAGGTAATTTACTTATACCCTTGGCTACTCCCACAACTGTATTAGACTTACGGTACCTAATTTACATACTGTCCAGACGATAGTTCGCCTAAACTGTCTGTAGCGTAGCGCTAGACGGCGGAAAGTAGTTCGGCTGCCCGATGAAGTTTTACGTAATTATAGGAATTTTTTTACCGTTGTTTACGGATAATTATATATACAGTACCTAATTTATACATAATTTACATATAATTATATGTACAGACGATACTAAACTCAATTTACCCGCCTAAACTGTCTGTAGCGTAGCGCTGGACAGCAGAAAGTAGTTCGGCTGCTCGATGAAGTTTTACGTAATTATAGGAATTTTTTTCACTGTTGTTTACGGATACTGCCACAATTTTTTCGCCGTCTTATAGGAATCGTAATTATAGGAACCCGTCTTATAGGGGACTCTACTGTATATCAAAACTAATTCTAATCGCACTAAAACCGTTTAGTACAATTAGACAGATGGAACGAGTCCTGGAGTATCTTTTGGATGACTTCAACGAACGCATGGCTATTTATGGCACTTTTGATAGGTGATATGAATGTACATATAAAAGTGTGGGATGGACATTTATTGCCATATATTGGCAGATATTGTTTTGATGGGGTGAGTAACAGTTATAAATGCCTGAATGAACTAAGTGCGGCATGCGATTTGTTAATATTCAGCAGGATTTTTCCACAGAAGGTAAACCATATGAATACATAAAAAAGAAATACTGCAAGAAATGAGTAAAGGAAATATTCAAATGTGTAAAAGTACAGTGTCCAAAGGATCTAAAATTACAGTGATAACAAATGTGTTGAGTAAGTTGAGTATAGTTCTTAAACAAACCTTTAAAGTTTTGTTGCATGCGATAAAGAAACGTGTTTTGAAGTGCGCAAGAGAATGTCGTACTATGACGATGAGGAAACAAGTAACAAGCATTGTGTAGTAAAATAAAAAGATTGTTGAAGCTGTAAGTAAAAAAAAAAAAAAANTTTATGTATCTTATTACAAATTTATGTACTACACGTGAAAAAAACGATATGATTGCTATTGTATATTCGAATATCACTGGCGGAATGGAAGCGCTGTATTGTCGAAACCGGGTCAGCTTCCAAGCAGCCAGATTACACGCATTCGCGCACGCGCTTTACAGAGCACCAACCTCACCCGGTTTAGCTACTGAATGGTACACGCCAAAATATCGTATAACGCTTCCAATGATTCTATCCAGGACCGGTTATGGCTGTTAGCCGCCTGCCTTCTAGATATTTGGCCGCCTTCTCCCGATTATGTGAATCACGAGTAGATTTATAACTTAACCCAATCGATAGGAATTTACTGGTATAACAAACAAATATTTCGATCTGTAAGTTTTTATACCGCGCTCGTCAAAATGCTTAATTAAACACAAACACGTGCTCTTACCGAGATTTGTTAACATTTTCTTCATTATATTTTTTCATACCTTGCAAATAAATCAACAAAATTGAATAAAAATTTGGAAAATTTTGGTGATGAACAGCAAATATATAAACTTAAATTTGTATTAAAAAAACAAAATATACGANCGTTTTGTACTTTTGTAAAAATCTTGAATACAAAACTAAAACAGAAATATATCAATTTACGTTTTGTGCTAACATAGATGTCTTACCAGGCAATAAGCATGGACATTGTGTGCAGGCTTTCCTGGAAGTTCGTTTCTGTTGAAAAGTGCTGCACACGACGCAGCAGTATTGCGTCCTGCCTGGTAGCTTTCTTAGGCCTACTGCCCTTCGAGGATCTGGGAGGCATACAGCTTCCTTTTGCTTATTCCTCTACTTTTTCCTCCATTCACCAGCCAGGCTCTCTATTACTGCCATGTCAAAATCTAAGTGAGACATAATTTTGACTCGGCCTCAGGAATTCTTCTTGTAAAGAAGATAGGCGATCAACAACATTCTGGCCATGACGTTGAACGCTACTTTCTTCCAATATTTTACAGTCTTACTTTCATCCAAATGCGCATAAATCATCACGTTTGATACACCATAAATTTGTTATAGGATGTAACTATTTGTGGCCATAATGTAGCCACCACCTCTTGTCTATCAATTTCGACATCGCGTACCCTTGCATGGCATCTTAATGTACGGCAATGGCTACTTACATATTCTATTAAACTTAAAAAAAAAAAAAAAAAAACGCTTGAAAATTTTAGCATTTAGCAAAAATAGTTAAATNATCGACAAATTACTTGATAGAATCAATCATCAACCAATTAAAAAACATACAAAAAATCAAACGATTTAAAATATTAATACAATTAGGGAAATTATTATATAGAAAACCACCTATGGAATTTCGGGACTTTGAGTATCTATCTGAACTGAGGTGGCCGAGACGACTTCGACGATACCCTATTTCTGGACCGGAGACGAAAAATAATAAAGTTATCATGCTTTTTCCGGTGATCGCGTGATATAATTGTGCGGTTAATGTTACCTATGGTGAGTAAAATGGCGGCTCGTCTCTGATTCCAGCAAACAGAAGAAAGGAAACAGTGGGGACGCACGTTCTGTCCTAACCTAACCTATTCTAATAAATTATTTGGTTGGTAATAACCATAATTATTACCAACCAAATTATTAGAATAGGTTAGGTTTGAACGTGCGTCCCAACTGTTTCTTTTCTTCTCTTTGCTGGAATCGGAGACGAGCCGCCATTTTACTCACTATAGTTAACATTATCCAATTGCGCTTACTTACTAGTGCAGTCTAAAGATTGATGACACTTTGAATTTCGTAGCAATTGGTTTTTGCGACAAGCGCACCTATTTGTGGTACATTTATTTGTGGCAAAGATCTTATTTTCACTTTACCGAGTGCTTAGTAGGTAAAGTGCGGATTACCTGGATACTCTGCGCATTATATAGGTAATTTGAGAAATGGAACAATTTTCACAACTTTAACGGATCACCCTAGTTAATCTGCAGATTAGTTAGGTAATGTACACATTATCGACTTTCGAGCTTTAGCGATAACATATTGATTCATTTAAAACAAATATTTTTGTATCAGAAATCTTATTAGAAAACATTTTTTATATGAAAGTATCAAAGCAATTAGTATTAGTAATAACGAATGTTTTAATTTAATTTTTTATAAACTAAAATACACTTTTTGTAAGATGAATTTATGCAAGTTTAAATATAACAGCATAAAGTTCAATGTTTAAGATTTATTAGATATTATCAGATATGTGCAAATATTTATAAGATAAATTTTTCTGAAGATTTCTATCTCTTAAAAGATAAAGTTACGTGTTGCATTAATGTGTGTGTGTGTGTGTGTGTGTGTGTGTGTGTGCGCGCGCGCGCGCGGCACGATTTTGTTTATCCTCTTTGAAAGCTTAATTTGTAATTTTCGTCGAAAGTTTCTGAAATTTTGCAGAAAGATTTGTGTATTAGGTGCATTGATGCTATTAAATTTTGGTGATTAGACGTCGAGGAGTGGGAGATAAAGGGGGTCGCGTGTATCTCGAGTACGATCGAACTTAGTGACGATTTTACTCGTTACTAGCATATACATTTTTTTTTTAAATAAAACTCATCCCAATATCCAAAATTACGCTTTTTGCTATTTTATGATACAGTAGTTATTAATATAAAAAGTTTTTAATAATAAAATATCATAATAGATAACGCTACACATGCAGTTTTAAATGTTGCCGGGGAAGTTAAGCAACTTGTATCGAACATGACTCTGGAACCCTTATGAATAAATCCTATTGTGCTATTGATTTTTAGACATATTTAATTGAATTTTTCTTTCGGAAACTCGTAAATTTTTTTTATTCCAAATGTATTCTTGCAGCAAAAATAATTAACGTCACAATTTATTAATTGATGGCACTGATTTCGATAATCTTCTCAGTGCATAGTTGCTAAGTCTACAGATAGATATAGATATAAAGAATTGTTTTTTACATTATGACTAGGCTATTATATATAGCCTATACGTGTTCATAATTATGTTTTAATTTTGAGCTCATTAAAATACTTGTAAAATCTATACGTTATTTCCTCTTTCATATAAATTGAACCATTATGAACACGTCAGTTAATCACCCTCTTTGATCATCTCTCGGACATCCGTTGAATATGCCCATGTATTTATAATTAATTAAATAACCATTCTTATTAATTTTTCAACTAAAAATATTATTTTAAAACGACTTTAAAACCATTACTGTTTGTTATTTTCTTTATTTTTCTCGTATATTCATTTCGATCTTCCGATCTTCATCAGTAACATTTCACTTAGGATGAAGATTCGGGAAAGTACAAGATATAACTAAGATTTTTATCGAAGTTTTATCAAATTTTATAGATTTTTAAATATAATTTTAGTTATTAAATAACCGACTTTGGTAAAAATACGTAAAAAGAGTTAAGAGTAATTGCTATTAGTCTATTTTTTAAAAGTATATTTAATACATTATCGCATTTCGCTATTTTGTAACGTGCGTGATAATTTATGTGAATTAAAAACAAACAAGAAATAAATAGCAGGATGCATCCTTACAAACTTTTGAACTAGTTTTTACACGGAAATTTTGAAGCAACCTCCGGCAATAATTATTATTCAATAAAAAAATCATTTCGACTACATTTATTTTAAAAAATGTCGTAATGTTAAAAAAATAAAGTAAAATAAATACTTTTTCTTAGTTTAAATAACAATTTAGAAAGTTAAAATATGAAAAAACTTTAAAACTTTTTACAATTAATATATAAATAATTTTCTATAAAATCTTTTAAAAATTCATATTTACATTCATATTCATGATGTTACTGATACTAAAATATAGTTAATATAAAAAATCTACTTGAATTAAACATGTGTAAATAGTTTACACAATTATATTTATTACACAATAATATAAAATTGTAAAAGTAGAATTTCTTCTACTTTAATGAAATTTTTAATGTATTACACGTCAATGAAAATCCTCAAATCGTCAGCGGGATTATGGATCAATGCACTGACGCTTCTAAAGCTAACGTACAGCTTTAGAACTGTACACCTTGAGAGGAGAAAAGAATGGAAGGCAATTTGTAATCTCTGGAGGAGAGACCAGAAGGAAGACCAACTTTTCAGCTTCCCTCTATTATATAATATCGGACCAACTTTTCAGCTTCCCTCTATTATATAATATCGGACCAACTAGCTTAATATACTCATTGGCCCGTAGTAGCTTCAAGGGACCCGGAAAATTTGAATTAGGCGGCCCCGTGTACAGCATTTTTCTTCGAGGAATGTTTTTGGGAAATATTTTATTATAAAAGATTGATTTGGAACCCTTGTCAGTGTGGACTTCAGCCAATTGCCCTTTTTGCCCATGGGATAACGGGCCACTATCAAATTTTAATTTTGCACTTCTATTTTTTTTTTAATATGTGAAATTTAATTTGAATATATGAATATTATGTATATTGTATATGAAACAAGATGTTTTGTTAATTATACTTTTTCTCGTTTATTTGTTTAGTTTAGTTACAGCACAATGAGTAAAGTACAGTACATTAGTTTTAATACACTAAAAATAAAATATTTTTAGTAAAAATCAAGTAAAAATTATACTCCTTCTATTTCCGACTTCGAGGATTCTACGAGTCAAAACAAGACAAACAAATGGCAAAAAACAATCATCACTTTATTAAATTTATCCATATGCATTTCGCCATCTAGGACTCCTCAGTGGATACATCAAGATGTTATTCGTTGGTTACGTTTTATACCCAACAGCCGTTCCCAGCATGCATCAACAATCATTTCAGCATTCAAATTAAGCAAATTTACATGTTTGGTGATAACAAGGGTATCATTTAGTAAGTATGAAAAACTATGTAATAATGGTAAAACTATTAACTTTAAATCTTACTGCCCTTTAGAAAATAAAAAGAACGTTTTTATCATGGAATTGAGAAAGATATTAAATCGAACAACTCAGCAAGAAAATATAGACATTGAAGTAAAACAATTGTTTAAGAAATTTCAGTTAAATGATTATCCGAAGTATATTCTCTGTAAGTGGTACAATTTATATTTAAAAAGTAGATTTAATGTTAAAAACAGCATAGAAGGTATTTCTTATGTAAAGTTTCCTTATGTTACTAATTTTTTTGAAAAATATAAACCGATATTTAAAGAATTTTCTATATGCATAGTTGCGAATCAAAAAAACAAGATGTCAAATATTATCAACATAATAAATAGTGAAAATTCGCCCAGAGACCAATTTAAGANAGAATAAATTTGTTTTTAAGCAAATAAGTCAGAACACACTTCTTTACAATTTGAGAACATGTATAGTTCATAGCTTCAATTTTTTTATAGCCATGGTCACACCTTGCAATTTCTAGCTGTGCAGGCAACTGCAATGGCTGTTCCCATTGACTAGTAAATCCTCTTCGAAAACCAGCATGAAAGCAAGATTAGAAACAAAAAGTTTGTTATACTTATGCCCATCTCAAAGGTGCACCATATGACATTTGTGCCATGTCAAATGGTTACAACTTTGAAAATAGTTAACATTGTGGCAGAAAGTGAAAATGCAAACTATTACAGCATTAGAATCGAGATTGATCAAGCTTATTTGGCTCACAAATGCCTATGGAGTTTTAATTCTTTGTTTTATTGGAGGAGAAGAGTACAGTCATGAGTGAAAAGAGCAAAAGTCTCACCATTGATTGCAAGTATTACTTTTAGATTTCTGGATATAAAATATCAATTTTTAGTTTAGTAACAATAATATTAAGTAAAAATAAGTTTACATGGCCAACAATTATTTAATATTAATAACAACTTTTTTACAAAGAAAAATTCTTTGTTTCAGTCATTTTTTCGTTGTTCACACCATCAGCAGTTCATTAAAAAACACACTCATCGAGACGACTTTTTTTTTTTTCTTTGTAAAAAAATTGTATTTATCTTTAGTATATTAATATTAAATAATCGTTGGCCGTGTAAACTTATTTTTACTTAAAATGTATCATGTGATTGTGGCAAGAGCACCAGAGGACGCTTTTATCATTTTTTACATTTTAACTACGGAGGCAGTAGCCTAAAAAGGAAGGTCGTCTCCGTGAGTATTTGTGTTTTTTAATGAACTGCTGATGGTGTGAACAACGAAAAAATGACTGAACAAAGAATTTTTCTTTGTAAAAAAGTTGTATTTATTTTTAATATATTAATATTAAATAATCGTTGGCCATGTAAACTTATTTTTACCTAAATTGACCGGTTCCAATATCACTTGTTTTATCGTTTGAATTTTAATACAGTATGGAATTCGGATATTCAAAACAGGTTCTCAGTTGATATGTGTTCTTCTCTGAAGAGCAATGCACTCTACTTATTCTCTGCTTATCATTTGTTTCTCTTTAGCTTCAACAGAAAATTGGACAAATTATTTAAGATTAGATCATAATTACGAAGTTTGGTGGTCGGTCCAAGGCGAATGGGTCACGTTTCAAGTAGAAGTAGCCACAAGAGGATGGGTTGGATTCGGAATCTCACCGAATGGAGGAATGGCAGGAAGTGATATAGTCATAGGATGGGTCAATAACGGAAAATCGATATTTTATGTAAGTATGCAGTTCAGTTGAATATATTAACAACTAAAATTATCAACAAAAAATGATACTAATAAAATAAATTATTTTATTATGTTGAAGTTTAAAAATGATTATATTACCACTCCAGAATAATATCCAACCATTAAAACATGAAATAACTAAATAGTTATTTCATGTTTTAATGGAAGTTGAAGTTTATTCTAAATTTAGGATAGATTCGCAGAAGGAAAATTCCAACCAAAAATAGACGAGCATCAAGATTGGGAATTACTTTTGTCATATGAAAATGACACTCACACAAGTCTTCGTTTCAGAAGGACGTTTAATACTGGAGATTATCAAGATTTATGTATAAATCCTGTAAGAAATTCTGACATAACTACCATATATACAGTATTATTATTATAATTAGATTTCATATCTCATTATTCTTATAATTTAACTATTTATATAATTTACCTTCCAGTATGAAACTATAAAATTGATATATGCTTATCATCCTGATGATCCTGTTTCAGCTACTACAGTTATGTATCATGGAACAAAAACAAGAGGTTCTAAAAGTACTTTACTGAAAAAAGTTGACAAAATTGAAAATTTGAACGAACCTTCGAAAGATATTTATCATTGGGAAGTTAGAAGTGCCAATGTGAGTAAATCAATTTAAATAATTATGCAAATATCTCTGCTTTATACGTTCAAATAACTTTTAAAAAATGTATTTTGAAGGTTGTGTTACCAGGTGATAAAAACAGCGAATATTTTTGCACCTTCATCAAACGTCCAAAGCTGAACAGGAAGCATCACATAACAGAGGTGATAAAGACAAGTTTTTATATAAGTAAAAGAAACTAAAGATAAACAAATGAAATGTGCAAGACACGCGTTTTAATATACCGAAATATATATATTTTAATTATAACACAGAGTAATTACTGCAAAAACTATAAGCATATTATTACCTCTTACGTAGATTTCTCCTTTGATTAAACCAGAAAATGAGCGATTTGTGCACCACATGGTACTGTACGAATGTTATGTCGATGAGGAAAAACTGTTACCCTATTTGGAAGAAGAATATCACGAATGCTTTGAAGAAAATTACGTACCAAAATTTCTGTTTTGTTTAAATCCATCTATAGGATGGGCTGTTGGAGGAGGGGTAAATGCTAGTATTTTAAATTATTATTATTTTTTATTCCGTGAAAAGAATTTACAAATATTTTCTAGACAATAAAGTTTCCGAAAGAAGCAGGTTTACCAATTGGATCACCAGACTTGGTTTGGTATCTTTTAGAAGTTCATTACGACAATCCTGGTTTCGAAAAAGGTCATCCATTTTATAATCTTTAGCTTTACTCAAAACAACTTTTTATTTACACTTCTACTATTTATTATATTTATTAGGCATCGTTGACAATTCTGGATTATTAATCACTTATACATCCAAACTTAGGCAATACGACAGTTGGACTTTAACTATCGGTACTTTAACATATCCTTGTATATTTGTGCCTCCAAAACAGAGAGAATTTACCGTTTCAGGTCATGCACATCCTTCTTGTCTTAGACAGGTAATTTTAATTATTTAGTTTTCTCGTTAGAAAATTAATTCTGAAAAGTTCTAAAACTTGTTTCTAGAGAATTCCTAAAGAAGGAATTAAAGTCTTTTCTTCTATGCTTCATTCACATGTGATCGGTTAGTAAAAAATAGTGTTCGTTTTTTCAGAAATTTATTTCATTATTTAAATAAATGACAGTAAGTTTTTTGTCAGGTAAAAAAATAACTGTAAGACACTTTCGAGGAAATGTGGAATTGCCGCCATTAAGTAGAGATAGAAATTACGATTTTAATTATCAAGTAAGATTATTTAAGCTAATTTTTATATATTTCTATATGTGATTATTGTAAGTTTATATTTTACTTTACGCAACTAAAAACGTGAAAGTTTATTAACATTAATAATCATTAATTTCGTAGAATGAATGAATATTATTTTTAATCATGATGACTTCATCCACTGTTGTTTATTATTCAGTGACATTACTGTATTTGGTGTCATATAAATCTAAATCTAATAAAAAGTGATTGGATAACATATACAAAATGCTCTCCACCTCAAATTAGTAGTGTCTTACATCTCTGTACATCATATTTCCCTGCTAACAATCGTGCTGATTATATATTTAACTTCTTTCAGGGAAAATTTTTGAATTGAGATAACGTGATTTTCGGTGCAAACTGGAATTTCGTATAAAGTTAGTCGGGACCTCCTCCCCTACGGTTTCTATATCTGGTGTCAACGTTCATCTATCTAACTCTTTATTCTTTATCTTAACTGAATTATTCTTTACAAACTGGCGAAAAACAAATTGAGGCTATAAAATTCTCATTCGACATAAATTTGACTTTATTTAAGCTCTCTCTCTTTCTAGAAATATTGTACATATAAACAAATATTAAGCAATATTTTAATTTCGTTGAGCTCTAGACACAAATTCATAAGTACAAAAACATATATATCAGTTATAACAGTCTTATATATGCATTTTATACACCTGATAATAGAACTATACATGCAATTCGATATATTCATTTGATTCGATTTATTTCGAGTATAAGTTATTTTGAATATAATAAATTCATTTGAGTATAGAATTCTATTAAAATCTATATTTAAAAAAAAATAGACGTTCATTGCATTAAATTTTATTATAGTTTGAAATTTCTAAANACCTGATAAAATAATTAAATGACGATGTAAAATAATTAATAATATTTCCAATAATAATTTCAAAATAAATCTTGAAAAAACACAAAATTTATGGTGTTTCTATACTTTTATAACAGATTGTATGTATATTCTTTACATTAGAACAATCAAGAGTTGATTTTGAATGCGTTACTTCAACGTAAACATTAATAAATTTTCAAGGAACATATTTTCAAAAACCCGAAACAAAAATTTAAAAATATACAATAGCAGAAAAAGTTATTACAGTAAAGCAACTTATGGGATACCCTGTATACACATATATTCTTAATATAACACTCTAAATATATATATTTAAAAATCTTTATATTTTATCAGGAATATCGCCTCTTACCTAAAGTACGCACTGTTTTACCTGTAAGTAGTTTCAAATTCTAAAGATGCTATTTTCCAATTCGTTATAAATTATGTTTACAAATATTTATTCATTAAATTGCAGACTGATCATCTAATCATAGAATGCACTTATGATTCTTCAAGAAGATCTTCTCCAACTTACGTAATTATGAATTGCTTTCACATAAAGGAAAACATTTTATAGGTTTCATAATTGCACGAAATTAAATTTTCAGGGTGGATTTTCAACGAGAGAAGAAATGTGTATAGTTTTTCTTGGATATTACCCGAAAATAAATTTGTCTGCAACTTTCAGCTGCCCTTCTCCCGCTAATGTCCTGAAAAGAATGGGAGTAAAAAAAGTTTCAGAGTAAGCATTTTCTTTCAAATTTTTAGCACATAGCCACTATGTAATTAAATAATGCATAAGCTTAAGCATTTGTTCTTTTATTTAAATTCAGCGATGAAAGGTTTGTTATATCTCCGATAACTGGTAAAAATGAGACTTATTATGACTTTCTTGAATCGTATCCATGGGAACACAATGTAGTGAGTCGCGTAGAAAGAGCAATGAAGTACAGTCCTCATATGAATTTTTGTATAGATAAAGGAGGAAAAGGATTACCAGTAAGCACAATTTCAATATTTCGATTTAAACATAATCATGTTTTAAAATAAAACTTATTTAAACTCAAAAACAATTTCCAGAATCTAATCCTTTCAAGATATCCAAAAATAAAATATATGTATAATGAACCAGACATTTGTTCCGTAAGATCTCAGCTTCAAATTACTGAAGAACAAATCAATCCATTTACAAGCAGACCAACTCGACGACAGCAAAATATATTACCTCCAGGTGTTAGAACTTCTACAGTGAAACCTACAAGAGAATATCCTCTTCCTAGAGCAACGGCATCGACTATTAAGCCAACTAGGAGACTCGCCACTTCGACTGTCGATCCTTCGAAAGTTCGACATGTTGTTCCTATTCATTTAATAGAACAAGCAATTAAAGACGCCAGTTAAAGTTTTGTGTTAATTTTAATCGCAATTTAAACTAAATTTGTGCAAATTTATAAGTGAACAATTGCTTAAATAATTTTTAATTTATTACTTATAGATTCTAATTATAAATTTTGTACACGATTTCACTTATTTACAGGGCCGCATTAAGTTTTTCGTACGTCCTAGGCACTTTTTCATTTTTTAAGTTAACGTTTTAAAATACCTTCTAAATAATTTAATGCATTTTAATTAAAACAATATAATTATTATGTATTTTATAATTAAGATACGAGTACAATATAGAATACATACTATCAATTGTGAAATTAAACAATAAATTATAATAATATATGAAAGAAAATATGCACGAGTTCCTGTATTTAATAGTGTGTGACCAACAAAGACGTTGCTTTTTTAGTTATTTAATAAGATTGTATATTAATTAGATTAGATAAGTGATTAGTAAGGCAAAAATTTTCGTGCAAAAATATAATGTTTTATGTTAATTCCCATAATTTTTAATTTCGTAGACCTTAAGCACTGTACTCAAAGTGCCTAATGGAAAAGACGACACTACTGTATTTATTTACGTATTAAATGAAGTGTTATAGCTTTACTTTGCAAGTTTGTTTAATCCTCGATTTAACGAAATTTAATCAGGATCTATTTTCGATATACTGTATATGAACCATTTAGATGAGTCTTCGGTATGGGCCGATACGAAAGGAATACAGACTTGTAACTTGAAAGTTAATTTCTGTCTTTATTATGATATTTCTACACATATTAAATGTGAAAGCGCATCAATTATTGCTTAGATAAATAAATAAAAACACCAAGACATTTAGAAAAAAGAAACGAGAACTCTGCTGGAAAGAGAATTGGGAAGTTGGAAGGACTTGGGAGAGAGGAGTCACTGGACAGAGAGATGTGAAAAGACAGATTAAGTAATAATGAAAATGCTGATCCCATATAAACGTGGGAAAAGGCAAAGACAAAAAAGAAAATAAAAAGAAAAGTTTTTTAGTTTTCTCTTCCATTTGAATTTCTCTTGACATTCCCTCAAGAAACGATAAACCGAAAAACACCAATAAATTGATATTTCAGTTCGTTTTGGGTGTAAGCATTGCAATTTACATTATTTAGTATATTTCACAGAAAATGGAACAAACTAAAAAAAAAGTATAATGAAAAAATCTGTCAAGCGAATGGGTGGTTTGAGTACGTCTAGGAAACGAAGGATAAAGAGAAATACAACAAAAAACATATTTTTGTTAAACGTTGAATTTTGTCTTTATTGCGATAATAATTTGATTTTAATGTTTTATATACAGTAGAATCTCGATTATTTGGATTTTCGATTATCCGGATTGTTCAAAATAAACAAAAATTTTACGAATTTGCTGATTTGCACTTGGCGAATTACGACACTGTTTATATATGAGATGGAATGCATAACATTTTTTGTTTCAACAACGTCTCACCCGGCACAGTGGTCGTAAACTCTTAAATATATTTTGCATCGTAATAAAAATATAACTTGACATGCGTATTTATAAATAATTTATACTCAAATTACATCATTTCTAAAACCAAGAGCGGCGTAAGGCATGGGCAACGTAGTCCACCACCTATGCCTCGCGGTCCGAAAGGCCTCGCGTTTCGAAGGTTTATGCATTACTTAAAAGCCGAAAACGCGACAAAAAATTTTACTCGTCATAAAACGATAAATAGTTTGTCAAATTCTTATTCATAAAAAAATGCAGTTTCAACTGCTTTTTATTTTATAAAATCCGTCTTCTTGAGCCGCCAGAAGGCTTTTTAAACAATAGGTAGTCAGTTAGCGCTGGTCAGTAGTAGTCCAAATTCAATAAAACATTTGTTTTTTGAAATTTTGATCACGATTTAAATACAGTATTTATTTTTAATATTACCGATATGTCATCGAAAAGAAAACGTGTTGTATTATCGTTAAAAGACAAATTAAAGTATTTGTTTCGATTATCCGGACTTTTTCTTATCCGGACTACCTTCATCCCCAATTAGTCCGGATAATCGAGGTTCTACTGTATTATATAAGATCACATATATCATTACTAGGTAAAATTTCTATAAATAGTATTGTCATAAATCGTAAATTAGTAATCGACTTAACTACTACTTTATATAATCGAAGTTCCGAATAAAATATGCAATGATACGTTAAATTGCATCATACGTTCGATGCCATAAACAATAATAATCACGACTAATTATAATTATAAACAACATTTTTAGATTTTGTATAAACTACTCTGAAACAAACGGCTGCTTGTAGTAGTTTATAAAATAAAGGAATCTTAAACTTTTTCACGGGAATCAGGTTAAAGGGCAGACTCGATAACAATCTTTTTTTTCCAAGGAAAAACAATTGAATCTCCTATACTCAGCATCACCGGTAACAGAAGCAGTCCGTTAAGAGCAGAAAAAATCATATTCAAAAAGATAATTTTGAAAAATAACACAAAAGTATAGGAAGGTCCGAATCTCAAAACTACAACACCTAAAATGGTAGATACGCAACCTTGTATTACCGGATATCCCGTAGCGTACAAAGTATATTTAAGTTTTTCTTCTAATGATTCTTTCTGACAACACTTATACGCGTAAGCCACGTGAGCCGAAAAATCGATACATAATCCCGCACTCATCATTAAAATCATGATTGACATCAAGTCTAAGTTGACATTCCACCAGTTCATATAACCCATCGTCTCTACAAGAATACAAACGATGTTTAATGACACGCAAACGGTGCAAAAAATATCTTATATCAGCACAAAAAATATCAAGCTCACTACAAGCACCGAGATACCAACGCTTTGCAAACAGATAACCGGCAGGTTCAATGATTGCTCGTAAGAAACAAATAATATGTTGTATACGATTATGCGATATTTGCTACGATCCGCAATCTGACGCAAACTTTCTAATAATAATTTCTCGTCTGTTCCTGTTCTGACACTTTTGGACAAAAAGAAACATCTAGAAGCAACAATTTTGTCTCTCTGTCTATTCCATGATATGTCTTTCTGGAATTGAACAGCCGGTTTAAGTCTGAGAAATACCTGTTTCAATCCTTGTATGAAACCCGTAGAATTTGTTGTGTTAAAATCATTCATCAAATAATTTATATCGTTGTTACGAATGAAAGAAAGATATTCTCGTATCCAACATAAAGAGTGTTCGCGTCCACTGATGTAAGGAGAATTCTCAAACGTTGTTAAAATATTCTCTACTTCTTCTTGTACAATGGGATTTGAATAATCTAGAGCTTGGTTAATAACTATTTGTATTGCGTGTGGATAATCTGAAAAATATAAGTAGTAATTATCAACGAATTTTCTAATGTAAGAAGAAAACGGTAACACGTCTCTCAAATTCAAGCCCTGTTTAATGTCTTTCATGCTGTAAATGCTTGCTGCAATATTGCATAGGAACAAGAATATGATCAGAATTTTGACTAATTTTCTACAGAAGAGATTTCCGAGTTTTTCAGAGAGGAACTTCATGGCTTTGTCAAACCTTTTCGAATCCATTTCGTCTTTTCTGATCTCGGACGTTTCGTTTTCTAAAAATGAAAGTAGTGCAAGAATTATTATGTATTATCGATAACAACATAAGTATATAAAAAATACTGAGTGCGGCGCATTACCTCACAACCAAGGTTAAATTAAGCAGGGAATAAGCTGGATAATGGTGAAAATGTCTGAAGTTGGAAAAGTGTTTGTATGCAAAATTGAACTTTTTATTAAATGAAATTGAGTAGTGTGGAAGTAAGTGAACAATGTGAATAATTGTTTTAAAAAGAAATTTTATAAGCGTTTTTGATGTAAGTCATTTTATTCATTTGTCGCTATTGATTATCGGTAAAAACGACAGAATAAGTGTCAGTTTATCTATTGTTAAGTTCTTGAAAAAAAAAATCTCAAAAGTCTTATGAGGGCCGTTGTAAAGGTCAATATGCATGCCTGAATTTGCATTCGTTAATAAAGATTTTTGATGATTTGTCCGTAAATAATGATTATAATAACCGAAAAAATAATTATATGTACTCTGTACTATATATTGTTTACACGTGATAATCTTAATTGTTGAAAAGCCTTTTAAAATTACTCTCAGGTTTCGGTAAGTCATTTCATCTTGCGGCAACAAAAGGATATTTTTTTACACATATCGTGAATTTGCTCACACCCAAAATGGGGAAGACTCGATCCTAAAGGAAGGGGCTCGTCATATCTATGACAAACCGCGTATAAAAAATTCCCGCGGATTCGTATACAGGTAGAAAGACGTCTTAACCGATTCGATCATTTGGATGTTCCCAGTGATATGTCAGTAAGAGTATATTCAAAATATTTACATACCATAGCATTTTTCCTTGACTGTGTAACAGAGAAAGGGATTAAGACGATGTTTTTCTCTGTAGCCATCGAGTGCCAAGAGACTTCCGAAGAAAAATATTTGATACACTAAATCGAAAAATACAGACAAAGCGCCGTAGGTGCAGAAAATACGAACGGCTCTATAAGGTGAAGTTATTCCAACACAAAACGAAGCAACATTAGTCAAGGAAGTAATGGTGATGGATATTCCCGCTTCGGAAAAAGTATGGTTCATCCTGTTCACTACGCTATCTTTTGAGTTCGTACGCCTCCAAGCAGACAACAAAATAAAGGAATCGTCTAGGCCAATACCTACAAAAATCAGTAAGCGTTAATTTTACCTGAATTGATTGAAGAAGAAATACATAAGAAAGATTACACACAATTACTCTTAACGCAAAGTGTATAGCATATAAATTATTTTTGTAAAAAAAAAACAAATTCTCTTTCATATTTTAATGAAATTTGACAAAATAACGTTATAAAGGAAATATGTTCTTAATACCTTGCCAATACAATTTAATAACTTCGATTTTCTATCCAACAAAAGTAAAAAGTATTACAATTTTTTATGTTCAGATTCGATCTAACTATATTTTGTGATTTTTTAAATTTATTTTGCAGTTCCACAAGCTCAAATGAGAATAAATATTAGCCAATTAGCCTTCGATTTAACACGGCTCGCTATAACAATAAGGGGCAGGATTACAATCAAACAATTCATCAGAATTCATTTATGTATTAACGTAAGCAATATTAATTAATTTTCGATGTCAGTATGAAACTTTGATAATGGTTTTTATTACTGTAATTCTTTTGCATTTTTCTTTGCTTTAATTTTTCTTAACTGTGACAAAAAGAATTAATTTACTTTCAAAGTTTACTTATTTCAGTTTCTACTTTTCTATTGTGTTCTGCTTCTCATCCTACTCTTTCTACTAAAGTTTTTAAATTTTTTATACATTCTTTTTATCGTTACTCTGAAAAATAATACAAATCTGTTTAGCATTACTATATAAAAAGCGTATAAATAAAGAAACATACCTATCAAAAGGAAAAGCAACGTCGTATTGACATCGCTATACTCTATTCCGCAATGTAGTAGCAAACCAAACGATGCTATAAGTGCTAAAGCGGGACTAGAACATCCCGCTAATCCAATCCACGGCTTACTGCTAACGATGTCGAACGTCATACAACTTGCCATCGAGAAAAAAATTATTATTGGTCCAACTATAAATGCGAGCGTAATGCTTAGTTCCGTGTTTCTGTTAGCTTCGACATTGGCACCGCGAAAAGTCCAGAAGAAAACGTTGATGTGGCGAAATTCCATTCCACTCATTAAATTCAGAAATGCTTCTTCCCACTTCAAAGCTATTTGCTTCTTTTCTTCCGTTCCGAAATTCATGAAATAGAAGAGGCGAACGGCTTTGAAGTCTGTGATGTATCCAGTGTCATTAACTGTTACTCCACCTATGTTCAAAGCGTGTATTTTCGCATCGAAATGTGCTCTATCTATTGGATATCTAAACATGTAATAAAAGTAAATAATAATAAAAAATATACTGTCAAGTCAGATGACACTATTCTTGAATTTTTAATTGAAGTTAAAATATTGGTTTGAATAACAATGTATTTCAAAGAACTTTTAATTAATCTGACAATTTTTGAGGTGATCGAATTGGATCGATAGTATAAAACATCGCAATACATGGACGAATTTCAAGAGGAAAGTGCCTTGGAAAGGAGGACTTTTATAGGTAACCATGAATTTCTCGGCCCACGGATTGAATTTTAAAATTTTGACTTTCACATTGTTACTATTATCTCTGAAACAATAGTAGAGGTAATTTTCAGTTTTTTATGTTCATTTACAGAATCACAAAATTTATTACAATTGGCTTTTTTCGTGCAATTTGTGATTACCAATAGCAGATTCGATCAAAGCACTGAACGTACAGTACCTGTCTAACAGGCAGGCTCACATGTGTGAGGAAAGCACGGAAGTTTGCCGGGCTTTCTTCACAGATCTAACACGTAAATATGAAGCATTTTCTCATGCAAGTACTCTCGGGAGGCACTTTCGCTTCAAAGTTCGCTTATGTATTGCGTTAATTTATCCACCCAATAATAATATATAATGAATAAACATATATGAGATTGTAAAATTTCAAGCAATGGAGAATATTTATTTGCGATGATAACGTCTTACCTCATAGAAACTTTTCCAGGATTTTGTATCATGTATTTCAAGGAAGAAACGAAATTTTCCGAGCATTGGTTACGATTATTCTTCACACAAATATCTCGGTAATAAAAGAACTTCTTTTTCCAAAAGATGCTGATGTTGCTGACGATGGAATCCATCTGGATTACATCTTGTAACGAAGAGATGTCCATCATGGATCCATTGTTCTTCACCGAGACAATGACCAGAATTAAATTTTTATAAATGGAATGCCGAGTTTCATAATATTGGTTCAAGATGCGGTTGGGAAACAGAGACTCGATGGACTTTTTATCTTCCAAAACTCTTCCGTTTCTCGGAACGTACAGATATTCCATATCATTAATCATAGTAAACTTGAGAAACCCAGACCCAAAAATCAATGTCATTAATAAAGTGCCAGCGATACAATGTTGTGGATATTCACCGACAACGTTGCCAATTCGAGAAAACCAAGAAGATAAATAAGAGTCCAAAGTTTTCTTCATTCTTTTTCTAAAGGAACAGTAACACCAATTATTATATTAGTTATTTGATTTTCATCGCATCATTCTGTTAATTAATCTATATGTTACCGCTAATGCTCGAAAGTCGTTAATCTGCAGATTACCTAGGGTGATCCGTTAAAGTTGTGAAAATTGTTCCATTTCTGAAATTACCTAGATACTGTAATGTGCAGAGTATCTAGGTAATCCGCATATTACCTACTAGACACTCGGTAAAGTGAAAATAAGATCTTTGCCACAAATAAATGTACCACAAATAGGTGTTCTTGTCGCAGAAACCAATTGCTATGAAATTCAGTGCCACCAATCTTTAGACTGCACTAATAAGTAAGCACAATTGGATAATGTTACCTATGGTGAATAAAATGGCGGCTCGTCTCTGATTCCAGCAAACAGAAGAAAGGAAACAGTGGGGACGCACGTTCAAACCTAACCTAACCTATTCTAATAATTTGGTTGGTAATAATTATGGTAATTTATTAAAATAGGTTAGGTTAGGACAGAACGTGCGTCCCCACTGTTTCCTTTCTTCTGTTTGCTGGAATCAGAGACGAGCCGCCATTTTACTCACCATAGGTAACATTAACTGCACAATTACATCATGCGATCACCAGAAAAAGTATGATAACTTTATTATTTTTCGTCTCCGGTCCAAAAGTAGGGTATCGTTGAAGTCGTCTCGGTCCCCTCAGTTCAGATAGATACTCAAAGTCCCGAAATTCCATAGGTGGTTATCTATATAATAATTTCCCTAATTGTATTAATATTTTAAATCGTTTGATTTTTTGTATGTTTTTTAATTGGTTGATGATTGATTCTATCAACTAATTTGTCGATTGTTTGATTGTATTAACTTGATTCTTTAGATATCGAAAATTAAATAAAGAACATTATGTTAATTTAAGCGTACAGAAACGTTGCTGCTGTTCCAGCAAAGATCTTATTTTCACTTTACCGAGTGCCTAGTAGGTAATTTGCAGATTACCTAGATAATCTGCACATTACCTAGGTAATTTGAGAAATAGAACAATTTTTAGCAACTTTAACGGATCACCCTAGTTAATCTGCAGATTAGCTAGGTAATCTGCAGATTAGCTAGGTAATCTGCAGATTAACGACTTTCGAGCTTTAGCGGTAACATATATACAGTAGAGCATCGATTATCTGACTCAATTGGGGACTCAGATTGGTCGGATAACCGAAAAAATGAAAAAAATGGATAACCGAAAAAATGAAAAAAATACATTATTAGTATATCCCATGTAATTAGTATATTAGTATATCGCTATTAACCAACTCCGCGTTGAATTTTCATCGATGTTAAGCCTAACAAAATTTTTTTTTTAAAAAAAAACCGTGCCAATGGAACCGTAAAAAATCATTTTTAAATTATTTCATAGCTCACAAAACAAACAACCATTTATTATTAGAAAATTAAGTCTCGTTTAAATACTGGCCTCCCTTCAATGGTCGAGCCGTGTTGCCAGCTAAAACACGCAAAAATTTAACAAAAATAATAATAAAGTAGCCAAGACATATTCAAATATTGTAATGCCACATCACTAGCGGACATTTGAAATATGCCGACTAGAACGGTCGGTTAACCGATGTGGTGTAATCGGGGGGTCGGATAATCGATGCTCTACAGTATTTAAATGAGGATGTTTGTTTGTTTGTTTGTTCGCTATATACTCCTAGGCCGTTTGGCCAATTGCTGCGAAACTTGGCAGTTGTGTTCAAATACCTCTAAATTAAATGATGTCGTACATCCCACCCTAAATTATCAATTGGATTTCTATGTATCGATTAATTTCTGTCTACATTTAAATGCTGGATTTACATACAGCGTTATCTATTGGAAAAAATCTAACAAAATAATTAAATAAATATAAATCTTACAAAAATGGATATAATTTTTAAAAATATTTATTATATTCACTGAATTACTGCGACAATGACATAGCGCGAAATAGATGCTCTATTATTACATTACTGTGACCGTAGCACATAGCACTTGCTTGAGTGGAGTGTAGTAGTGTTTTGCCCCTTTATATCATACTTTTCCTGTTAGCAATTGAATCGTGCCGGTAATATATCTATCTCCATTCAGGGGAAAATTTTTGAATTGAAATAATATAACTTGGGGTACAAATCGGAACTTCATACATAGTTAATCTCAACCTCTTTCTCTTATGATTTCCATGTTTGGTCTACACTTTCATCTAACTAACTTCGTTCTCGAGATTAAGGAAGGACAGAGACGGACGGATGAGAGTTGGAATTTATAGGTCTACAATTTCTTCAAATTGCAGTCCAATAAGAACCCTCCAATAACCGAGTGGATAAAATCACTAAATACCGGTAGACGGTCGTGAGTTCTCGCATGGCCAACGGATTGGCCACGTGGAGTTTTCTGGGTTTTCTTCGCGTTAGTAACACTTAAATAAGGGCTAACTTTACATGAAAGTCTTCCCGGAATGCAGATTGCTCACGTGTCGCGTTGCCGTAATCAAACTAACCAAACCAATTCTAACAATTTATCTATAAACGCGATATTTACAGGACAAGCTTAACTACCAGAAAACCTGGAAATAAGAAATCTGTAATCAGATACATAATGCGGTTATAATAAAATATTGTGCGATTATTTTCATATAATTAAAATTAATATGTATTTATTTTTTTATAAAATACAAGGGAAGCGGCGCTTCCACCGCTTCTAATGACGGCACGCTACTGGTAGAAGGAAATCCTACGCGTCAAGTGAAAACCCCATTCTTCTAAGATTGCAACAGAAATTACCTTCAGGTAAATACCAAATCGCGATCGAATGTAAACTCTCTCTCTCTCTCTCGGTTAGAGATTCAAATGCGAATTAATTGATATGCTCTTTAATTACTTTATAGCTAACCCTAATATATATATAATTTATTGTTTTATTTTCTTTAGAAAAGTGAAAGAAGACATTTAAGATGAGAAATATTAATGTCCCGTCTTCTGATATCATTTTCGATTGATTATAATTTTATACAAAACATATAAAATGAAAACTAATTGTTTAGTAAAATATCTGAGAAATCACGTGACCACCCTCTATCTCTCAGCCCCCTCGATCTTTTACCTCCAAAATTTAATAGCATCAATGCTCCTTATACACAAGTAACCGTGCCAAAGTTCGTTTCTTAATCTTTACCCCATTTTTATATATTAAACGAAATAGATGCCAACACATACACATACGGATACATATACATGAAATTTTTTCCGTTTCTTTTTAATTTTTTCGGTTCAGGAGATCTGAAAATGTGAAGATTCGCAAAAATCTCGAAGAATCAATTTCACATGATTCCAATACAAGTCGACCCCCCTATAACACTGTTGATAATTCCATTTTATATGAATTCCATGTTGTACGAGTCACTTAGATTTTACAAATACGTGTGCCGGGCTGTGAACGGCTCATTTGTAAAATCTAAGTGACTCGTACAACATGGAGTTCATATAAAACGGAATTGTCTAGTGTTATAGAGGGTCTACTGTAATAGCTCAACACAAATGTGAGGGCCAGAATTTAAGAATGCTAAGATTCGCATATTTTTATTCATTTTAATCTACCATTTTTGTTTCGAAACTAAAACGATTTTATAAAAGTTAGGGTTAACTCAAAAAGAGAAAAACAACCGACAAATTTTCTTATAAAAATCGATCATGAAACTCACGAAAATACTTCCTTGTAGAAAATGAGTTAACTGTTATGTCATAATTTTGTCACTTAACCCACCATCGGTCATAGGAGATCATCACCCTTTGACGTACGTGGGGAAATCTCGAGAAGAGAGCCCCCCACATAAAAGGCAAGTGCGATGACGACACAGGAGAAAAAAAAAAGGTTATTTTGTACTGTGAGTGGTCTGTGGATTTCCTACCTCTCGTTGCCACCATCTTCGATAGACTTCCTATCTGAACTATTCTACGATTTTTGGACTTAAGTCGAATCAACGAACTATTTCAACGAGCCCGGAATCCGAACTCAAAGATCGTCAAGAAACCATCCTGTACGATTAGAGGTATTTATCCTACTCACGATGATAGCTCTCTCTCGAGTACTTTCGAAACGCGGTTAGAGTCGCGACTATTATCTATTGTCAGCTACCTTTCCCGAATGGAATTACCTATACGGAATGTTAACCCGGAGAGAGATATGTGCTCTCGAATCCTTAATAATCTATAACCACGTTTTACAATAAACGGGTATATTGTAATGAAATTGGATTGGTGTGCGTTCTTTCCTACATTACCACCTCCATTCCGAACCGGAAATCATGAACGAGATCGCTCCTGTTAAATCGATCTCACTTAAAAGCGTATCTATCCGCCGATAAATTGATAGATTGGTGTCAGATCCTGACGTGAAATAAGATCTAACGATCCTTAACTCTATAACCCTTCCGCTCAACAGAACCCATCCTTTGGACAAGAGAGACCGGACCTCAAGGTCTCGAGTCGATTAAGGGATAGGAGAGTCAAGAACTCGTAACATCCTACCCCCGATTAGTCTCACACAAAAAAGGAATTGATCTTAAATTTTTAGCTGTTTTATAAGCAAGATTAAAGTATTTATTTTATACTGTACGGAGAAAATAAACCTACTTATGTTAAGACCTAATTATAGACTTTATAAATTTTCTATTAATTGCATTAAGAGATTTCCCTAAAACTTTTTGGATTACAGGAATTTTCCTCATAACCTTATCACATGTAAAAATAAAATTAGATTACCCCATCTCATATAACACATTCTCATGATAATAATTCTATGTTAGAACCAGAAAAAAAATAATCAATAGATGGTATGATTTTATAAAACATTAAATACAGTAGAACCTCGAAAACTCGGCCTAATGTGGACCGAAGGGTGGCCGAGTTTGTGAAAATGCCGGGTTATCGGGAATGGGGTTAAAAAAGGATAAGTATGCGTGTTTCCTCAGAAAATAGTGTACTGTACTCGTATGTATTGTTTGCTGGAGAATACAACAGAGAATAAACTGCCCAAATACCCTTAAACAAAGGAAAAGTACGTACTTTATGAAGGCATAGAGCCTTTACTACATGAAAATGAAAATTAATGAATACACTGTGTACAGTAATTTACCTGATAAGACAGACCTCAGAAAAATACTTTATGAGAGCTTTTATACTTTTATAAAGCTGTCTATAATGAAAATTAATTAACTAAGGATTTTTTTGCCCTGCCAGGGTGTGGCCGAGTTATCCGGAGTGCCGGGTTATCGAGAGCCGAGTTTTCGAGGTTCTACTGTATTTAATTTTCAAATGAAATTTATTAAATATTATAGATCAGAGGTGGATAATATTTTAAGAAAAGTGTGTTTAAAACTTAAAAGATTATTCTTAGAAACTTAAAATATTCTTAGAAACTGCAAACAACTAACCAGTTAAATATGTTAATATAGAAAGACTTTGTATAGCTATACACAGAGAAAAATTTCTAAAAGATTACGCGTTGATAAAGATTAAATATTAAGAAATAGTGTTTTATCGAAGACAAAACATGCTGAATTGAAAATTCTTTTTTTCAGATTTTATCGGAATAAATATAGTGTTTTATCGAAATAAAATCGTAGGATAAAACAGTACGAAGTAGTGTTTTGTCGGAAAAAATCATTTTATAGTTAACAATTTTATAGAGTCACAATAATGCAATTAGTGTGGTATAAAAATGTCTTACCTGCAAAGTTTTATGATGATTGCAATATTTTCTGTTTGAAATTCGAATATGAAATGAACGTCGTAAAATAAATATTCTTGAAAAAGTGGTTACGACCGGTTACTCTACTATTTTTAATTAGAAGATTAATATTCCTTTGTCGTGCATTCAATTTCTAAATAAACAGTAGCGAAGCAAATGTAATTAAGTAAAAAAATTGAACGCATGCAGTTTTCTGCATTCAGATTTCTTCGAAAATATACGTATCATGTGATTTTCTCATGTGATTTTCTCGTGTGTCACTTTATCATGTGATTTTCAAAAAAAATTGTTAAATATTTATATTGTTATTGGAGTATTAATTATAAAGGAAATTTTAAAGGAATATTTATAGCTATCTTAATTATTATTAAAACCTTCTACACGTAAATGTTGTTTTCTTGATATTTTCGCACGTATACAATACTAATCTTTTAACTTGTTTATACGACTTTAAAGATAAAACAATTAAAACAAAGAAACGATATTTACATTTATGTTATTGAATTTACAGTAATTTATAATTAAGTTTATATTTTATAAACGTAACTGATTTAGGTATTTGAGCGTAAGACAAAAATAGAAACGTTACTAAATGTTTTCTACTTCTATTGTACAAATATAAATGAAAATAGAATTGTAAAATTTAAATTTTGAACGATTTTGTAAACATGATATTTAAGAAGGAAATCGATTTTAATTAGTTTCATTTCTCAGTTTTAACGTGATGAAGGTCAAGCTATCTATTACCAGGAAGTTACAAGCGTAGAATCTACATAACAACTATCTATATAATTAACATATTAATATTTGTAGATATAGAATGAAAAAAAGAAAATTTTTATATTACTTGCTTAGTTTGTATTAAAATTATTTTAATCATACAGAGAGGAAGCGTAATTACATTCTAGACAGGAGGGTTAAGTATAATTTCCTCGAATGAATTTTTAAATTACGTAAAATTGAGTTTCTATTCATTTCTATTATCCTATCATAGAAGATTGTGTACATAATTTTTGAATGATGTTTCTATCAATATGATCACATGAAAATTACGTACATGATCTTCTAAGATTAGATAATAGGGAAGCAGAGAAACTCGACATTATCATAATAATAAATAATAAGAATAAACATAAGTAGTAGTGGTTTCGGAAGCTTTGATCACAAAATTAAAATTACAAATAATTTTTAAAATTAAATTAAGATTGCAAATAAAAATTTGTTGAATGGAATTATTTCAGATCACAAAATTAATTTTTCGATCACAAATCTTAATTAAATTGATTTTATTTTAACAATAAGGAAAGTTTAATATATTCTTTCTAATTATCAAATTTATTATTATAAAATTAATTTACAATAATCATTTCAGATATAATAATTTCAGATCAAATGATTAGTAATAACAATTTCAGATCAAAAATTACTCGGATAAATTAAGATTATAAATAATTTTAATATTTAGAAAACTTTTCAATTCATTTCATTTTTTTTTTAGTTTTCATAAAATACCTTGTAACAATAAGGCAAAGTTTCTGTATTAATTATTAAATGTTTTTATAAATTTGAATTAAATTAATTTTATTATAACAATAAGGAAAGTTTAATATATTCTTTCTAATTATCAAATTTATCATTATAAAATTAATTTGCGATATTAATTTTTTAAGAGAAATCTTAATCACAAATTTTAATTAAATTAATTTTATTTATCAAATGTTTTAAAAAATTAATTATATTTTCTAATTCACTTTATGAACTAATTTTCATTTTGATTAAGAATTATTTTATAGAAGATCGGTTTTTGATATAAATATAGTTTTAAGGAACATTAGAATTTATTTTTAATACCAAGATTGAAAGTTGCAATCATGGAGACATATGATTTTATTATTACTTACGACGGTGATAGAAATTATTCTATTTCTCCTCGTTTGTACAAGTCTTTCGATACATGTAGTGGTGCGGTAAATAATTTTTCTTTCGATATTCCTGATAATTTCCCTATTATTTTACGTTATTTTAAGGTTAACGATGAAATATGGAAAGGAGACAGAAAATTTGGTTTTATAATTGTTGACAAGGATGGAAGAATTAATAAAGTTAATAATAAATTATATTATTCGTTCGAGGAATGTTCAGAAGTTATGAATGAAGTTTATATAAAAAATAACCAAAAGAATATATTAATATTTAGAGAGATAATTTGCGGAACAAAGCATTATAAATTTACTAAAGCTTATAAGTTCGATTAATACGAGTATGTATTTCAAACATCCTAGTAACTGTATAATTGTTGGACCTTCACAATGCGGAAAGACTACACTAGTGAGAAAAATTATTCATAACAAAATTTATGAAAAAATATTTAAAAAAGTTCTATGGTGTTATTCCGTATATTTACCAATTTTTCATGAAGAAAAAGATATTACATTCATGTATGGTTACCCGAATCCGTGCAAAGATGGGATTTAATAATAATTGATGATTTGATGCATGAACACAGTTCAAAAACTGCATTTTTGTTTACAACAGTCTCATCATTATAATGTAAGTATGATAATGACAATGCAAAATTTGTTTCCAAAAAATAGAATTATGAGAGATATAACTTTAAACACGCATTATTTGATATTATTTAAAAATAATCGTGTTGACAGTCAAGTAAGTTGTTTGGGGCCACAAGCTTTTGTTGGTAAATGCGATTTTTTTATGGATGCATATAAAAAAGCAACGCAAAAGGAATTTGGTTATTTGTTATTAGATTTTCATCCTAAAACGAATAAGAAATTTTCTGTGAGAGATTCGTGATTTCCCGACGAACAAGGTATTTTTTGGACATACTTACCGATAAAACGAATAACGTAAAGAAAAATTATCATATGTTAGCACTTTTGTCCAAGACTACTCCTTCTCAACGAAAAGCAATATTGAAAGAAGCTACTCCCGATCAAATTAAAGTTTTGTGTGAAATATGTGATCATTTGAGGAGAGGAAATATACCTGCCGATCTTCGTAAATTACAAAAATATAAAAAAATTATCAGGAAATTAAGTGAAAAACATCTTCCTTTAAATACTAAGAAAAAAATTTTAGTTAATCAATCGGGTGGATTCCTTCCTCCCCTACTGGCTCCCGTATTGACTATGGCAGGTGGACTAATTGGTAAAGTAATAGGAAAAAGAATCTAATGGCGAAGCAAATGGCTCTTGTCCCTCCTAAATTGTTGTCAGCATATCAAAAACCTGAAATAAGAATTGGTAATAATATTGAAGAATTACTTGAGACTGGTGATTTATCTGATGATAGTAAAGTCAAATTATTAAGCCAATCGATTTCAAGATATCAGAGAACAGTTCATGCACCAAAAGAACCTGTTATACTACGTTCGCACACAATCCACTACTCACTTCGATCTCGATTTACCTACAACCTCGATTGTGACTGTCGCCAGTGGAACGTCGTGCTGTTCGCACAGGCAGTTCGCTTGAGAAGAACCTGGCTATTACACGCGATCATAAAACTGACGTAACTATGCGGTAAGTCACAAACACCAACAAACAAAATGGAAGTTTTGGTTAGAAATAAATACTTTTTCTTGCCATACATCTAATAATAGATAGATGTCGTCGTCTCTCCAGATGTCTTTTTTATTTCTCTGTCGATAGCCCCACACGTGTTCCGCAGCCATCTTGTATTTTCTCGCGCGTGTGGGATTGTGGGATCTCTCTTATGACTGGATCTAGTTTCGAGAACTCTCTCCATTCGATCGCGATTGAACCTCGTTTCAGTCGAGATTGAAACGGTCGAGAGCGTTCGCACCACGGAACAGTCTCCGACCTTAGGCTAAGACTCCACTACCGTAAAAACCCCTCGCCATAAAAGCTTTTAATCACGTGACCTATTTGCGTTTGCGCTCGGATTACGGTGGAAGTCCGGCTAGCACGAAGTTTTTACGGCAACGGTGCTGCCCCAAGTGTCGAAAGTAAATACTTCTTCACACGTGAATTGGTAGAAACGAAAGACGGTTGTATACGTGATATATCGATATAAAGACAATGATTATATTCTACAAGTTTTTTCTGTACTATAATTACAAATGCAGTAAAAATAATATCTTTACTTTCATATACTAACTTTTATTATCGTATTATTAAGCTTAGCTTTTTTATTATATACTCCTCTAAATTGATGGATTTCCTTTGGTATCCATTATTATAATCAGGTTACCTCTTGTTGTAGATACACGAATACTTTCGAATGTTTTCGATAAATCTTTCTGGATCTATTCTAGAGTAGCCACGAGGGAACGTACACAAAAGCTCGTTTTCCGCCATTTTAGCTCCGTGTCGCGATTACCTAGATTTCACTGACTTCTGATTGGTGGAAGCAAATAGTTTATTATGACAATAGTGGAAACTTCTGATGAAAACTGGCGACAAGCTTCAGCCCGCCATCTAGTGGTTTGAGGAGATAACTACGCTTCACTCCATTTGTACCGCGTGTATAAGGAGACGTTTTTGGGTATTAATATAGATATATTATTATATATATATTACTATATTAATATTAATATAGTTTTGAACATTTTTATATCTCATAATAATTAGAATGGCCGGAAGAGGGGTTATTTGCGCTATGTATGGCTGCTTTAACTATAAGATACAAAGTGATCGCAAGTCGTTTTACAGATTCCCTAAAAACAAACAAGTGTAAGTAAATTCATAAGCAATTAGATTGTTTTCATTTATATCAACATTCCTCATTTAAAATATTGTTATCATTCAACGTATGTGTTTATATTGATTTTCAGATGCACTCAGTGGGTTGTTAAAAGCAGAAGGTCCGACTTAGACAATATATTAAAAACAAAAGGGCCAGAATATTTAAATAGAAACTGATGACAATTGCAGAATGCTGTATCCAAATGGGTGTGGGAAAAATTATCTTCAGAAATGTCAGCAATATTTCAAAACAATTTTAATATGTTTTTGTTACAGAGCCCATATGGAATTAAAAGTAAGTTAATTAATTATTTCTTAAAGAATGCAAATATTGAAGGTGTTTGTGACAATTGTATTAAATTATTGGCAGATAAATATTTCAAAGTCCTTATTAAAGCATATGTGACAAAAAATAATGATTCATCTGAAAGTTTTCTGAGAACAAAAAATGCTAAATTAAAAAGGATTGCACATATGTAATAACTGTATTATCCATGACCTGTATGATCAAACTGTGCACATAATACATTTTGATGTTCAATGTGTTCTAATTTAATAAAATGAAATTAAAACCTCAGATTTTAATTTTAAAAATCTGACTCATTGCATTTGATTTGTTTTGTTGCTATTATTCTTTCCTTTGAATCACTATCCATCAACGTTTCCTACTAAATAAAATTATAATTCATGTTTTAAGATCATAAAATAAAGACAAAAAGATGATAAAATATTTATTTCGTTGCATTTTTGCAAGTTTTGTTAGACTTTACATACTGACTGCGGTGTTAGTGTTCTCCTCAAACCGCTAGATGTCGCTAGTTCCCGCTGTCTCCACTACGGTAAATGCTAATTCACGAGAGTTTCCACTATTGTCGTATAAGCTATTTGGTGGAAGGTACCTCTTTACGGCCGTATTCGCGTCGAAAGTTGAACATAGCTCAACGCGCTTTTACGCTGGTTTTACGGCCTGCTCAAGCGTAAGATATCAGGGTCACGTGATTAAAAGCTTTTACGGCGAGGGGTTTTTACGCCGTTTTTACGGTAGTGGAGTCTTAGCCTTAGTCACAATCTAGATCGAAATGCTCGGTGCGAACGGGGTATTAGAGTATCTGTTGTATCCGACGAGATCGAAGAAATGGAATCTCAACCTGAAGAAAAAGCTGTTGATGATGCATTTATTAAACAAATAATTTTATCCGTACCACAATTATATAAAAAATATATACCACATTAAATTGATAAGTTGAATCGAAGTCATTACGGATGGAATTCTAAAGATGAATTAACAGTCCATGGAAAACCTATTTTTGAAAGTCATATACTAGGCTTAATTTCGTACATAATGAGAAATAGAAAAACCACATTAGTTCCTGTTGGTTTTAACGAATTTTGGAACGGTTTAAATAAAATAAACATTCCTAAAGAGTGGATTGGAAACAAAAGTTTAGCAACATTACCCGAAAAAACACAGTATCAACCAGCATCGGTCGAGACTCCTGAAGAAATTTTCACTCCGAGACTATTTCATCAGTGGAAAAAATCTAAGAGGAAGAGGAAGAAAAATTCCGAATGGAAAAACTTTTGAAATCGATATACAGTACTATAATCCTAAATCTCCAGCATCTTTTGGTGGTGTAAATAAATTAGTAAAGGAATCTAATTTACCGCGATCTATTGTTAAAAAATGGCTATCTTCTCAACTGACTTATACACTTCATAAACATGTAAGAATTAAATACTCGCTAAGAAAAACTAAAAGTTTTTATCCTAATGACTTATGGCAAGCCGATTTAATTGTATTAAAACAATTTTCTAGATTTAATAATGGAGTAAAATACTTACTAACCGTAATTGATGTATTTACTAAGTATTGCTATATAGAACCAATAAAAAATAAAAAACCTCAGTCTGTTTTTAAATCTTTTGAAATCAGTTTTTTTTTAAAAAACTTACAAACTGATAAAGGAAAAGAATTTTATAATAGATTGGTAAAAACTTTTTAAAATCTTTTTAAAAAATTTAAAATTAATTCAACCCATTCTGATACAAAAGCAGATGTTGTCAAAAGACTAAATAAAACTCTGCAGAATAAAATATATAGATTATTTACTTATCGTAATTCTTATAAATATATCGATAAATTATCTGATATTGTAAAAAGCTACAATAATAGTTTTCATAGAAGTATCGGTGTGTCTCTGTCGGAAGTTATACCTTTGTGTCACAGTGCGATTTTTGAAAAGCTGTATGGTATAAAAGGAGAAAATACATTTAAATTGAATATTGGTGATCTTGTTCGAATTTCGAAAATACGTAAAACATTTAGTCTAGGATATCTACCAGGTTGGATTAATTAGTTCATTCAATTATATAATTGAATGAACTAATCAAGATTAATGTCTTTAACCATTTTTAATTCATAAAAACGAAGTTATCAATTCAACTCCATATGTTAGTCCCACACACCTGTAATATGTGTACTACAGGAAAAAATACTACAGGTTATAAAATAAAAAAATTTTGTTTTTTCTTATTTATGATCTCATCTTTGTGTCAATAATCAAAACACCGGTATAAAGTCCTAATTAATGATTTATGTCCAAGTAAACAACTGATAAAGTATAGTAATATTTTGTACTCTATTATCAAAAATAGTTTTGACTGTTGTATAGATTACTTCCGTTGGAATTTCGGGACTTTGAATATACATCTGAACTCGGAGGACCGAGACGAGTTCTACTATACCGTACTTTTAGACCGAAGACGAAAATTAACAAAGTTATCATATTTACGATTTCTTGCCTTTCATGGTAATGTATATGTTACTGTGAATGACCGATATCTGGCGAATGTCAACATTCTCCGATGAATGTCAGCATTCACACAGTCGTTTCGTGTATGTACGAAATATTTGCTAAATATTATCATTTCTCACTTACACCGGCAAATGTCGACATTCGGCACGCACTGATGATGAATGTTGAATAAAAATATTTTTATTACGTTAAGACAAAAATGCAACTTTTTAATATGTCAAAATAGGAGGAAGCTTAAGTAACGGCACACAGAAATAAACTGTTGAACCTAAAATGAACAGTATGTTCTAAATCATTAAAGAAAATAATACAATAATAAACTTACACATAAATTATGTGATTATCGTTATACAATCTTATTTATTGCAACAACTTAAACTGTTATGGCACTTTGAATTGCAGAAGAGTCCCTTGCTTTTACAATTTATTCGTGGAACACTTTTTTTTGCAATGACAACGTATGTAGCCTTGCCCTCCATTTTTCGAATTATCTGTAACTGCTTCTCTCAGCGATATTTCTTGAGAAGAAATCTCATCTATGAAAAGTAACTTTTCTTTATAAATTACGAACTGATTACGTTATTACGTGATTACGAACTGATCTGTTAATAGTGTCTTTTATTCGGATATTGACGACGCCTTACCGACGACCCCATCTCATCTACTCGACCTGACTAACCGATCCCCACCTCACGGGATCAAAAGAACAAAAACACCATTCAGTGACAAAGTGGGCGATTTCCACCAAACCGTTGCCTGGAAAAGAGGTACGATCTTGTCTTACCTCTGACTACCCACAAAGGATTTGGCAACAGACTGTCGCCTCTCTGTCGACATCGGCTTTTCGGGTGTCATTTCGACCTCCACCAAAGCTTATCTGTGCTTGTCGACATACACTGGTGATTGTTCGAATGTATAATAATATAACCAAATATTCTGTCTTTTACCGACGTATTTTGTATGTGTCGACATTCACCGGAGAATATCGACATTCTCTAATTTCGGTCTTTCACAGAAACATATACATTGATACAATACAATATAGAGTTTTACATGGTAACGTATTTAAATTAATCCAACCGTGCGTGAACTTGCAGCCTTGAATATCGATTGAGCTGAAATAGAAGGTTTTCTATTAGCCTAACTAGTGACTGTCACCTCCCGGAGAGAGAGGTTATTTGGACAAGCCGCGTAGTACTAGCTGACCGATAGGTGTGCCGTTCACAACCCGGCACACGTATTTGTAAAATCTAAGTGACTCGTACAACATGGAATTCATATAAAACGGAATTATCAACAGTGTTATAGGAGGGTCGACTGTATACTCAAAGTCCCGACATTCCACCGGGAGTAATCTATACAACATCCATAGTTTTAAAACTTTTGTTATCAATCTTACCGTAAAATTTACTAAATATAGTGTGTCAAATGAAATTGAGCCAACAACATCTCTACATCCAGTTATGTGTCGACTTCTTCTAGCAACATAAGTTTTAATTCTTCACATTTGATTTTTAAAATACATGCAAATGATTTTCAATAGCATCGATAGCTTCACAAATTGGGCAAACGCGATGTGTTTAATAGTAAACAGAAAAATATGCAGCAGTTGTTCCTCTTGCATAGTGGGTAAAATTAAATTCGATAGAGAAATGTGGACTTGTTAATCAAGAACTTGCAGAACTTATTTAATGAATGAAATCGCACCTTTTCAAACATTTTGAATTTATCTTTGGTCAATAACTTTAACATTATTTATGCTTGGTATTCGTCTACAACTGAAGACAGTGAAAATTTTCCAGAGTTCGATGATTACGCATTTCGGATTGGAAATTTTTTCAGAAAACCATGAAAGAAATCTGTATTTGGAATTGTTTAAAAGGTAATCAAAAGATCGGCGGAAGTACAGTTAGGGTCGATATCGCCATAGGAACCAGAGAAAATTTGCAACACGACAACAACCTTGTTATTTGTGGATATATAACTACAAATCCTAAAAAACGATTTTATCCAATTCTTCTCCTTCTACAAAGGAAGTTAAAAATTGTTTGAAATTGCGGCTGGGTCCCGGTTCAAACATATATACTAAAAATATAGGCTATGGATTCCTGGGAAATACGAAATGGATTCACTGTCCGCGGCCAGATATGTTAACCGAATCAGCTTGGCTACTTATTTTATGGAGAAAGTTCAATATGCATATAGAGTGACCCTTTGAACAATTATTTAAAAACGTCGTCGAATATTTCTCTAATTACAGGCAACATCTTCAAATTTAACAAACACGAATACTCCAACTTAAAATACAAAAAGTCCTAAATTTAAAGATTTATGCCATGGTCGAAAATGAAATAATACAGCAAAATATTCTCTCATTATCATGTAGCGCTACTTCTTTATTTTCATAATACTTGTAAGATACAAAAAAAAAAGAATTCCCAAAAAATCATTTTTATGGCCTTGAGTTTTATTTAATGTTTTTCATCGTTGACTCCCCGCTCTGTTGGCACTAAGTAAACTTTTTAATAATAATTATCATGGGCTAGGCCAGATCACAATNGTGTCGTTTCGACCTCCACCAAAGCTTATCTGTGCTTGTCGACATACACTGGTGATTTTTCGAATGTATAATAATATAACCAAATATTCGGTCTTTCACCGACGAATTTGTATGTGTCGACATTCACCGGAGAATATCGACATTCTCTAATTTCGGTCTTTCACAGTAACATATACATTGATACAATACAATATAGAGTTTTACATGGTAACGTATTTAAATTAATCCAACCGTGCGTGAACTTGCAGCCTTGAATATCGATTGAGCTGAAATAGAAGGTTTTCTATTAGCCTAACTAGTGACTGTCACCTCCCGGAGAGAGAGGTTATTTGGACAAGCCGCGTAGTACTAGCTGACCGATAGGTGTGCCGTTCACAACCCGGCACACGTATTTGTAAAATCTAAGTGACTCGTACAACATGGAATTCATATAAAACGGAATTATCAACAGTGTTATAGGAGGGTCGACTGTATACTCAAAGTCCCGACATTCCACCGGGAGTAATCTATACAACATCCATAGTTTTAAAACTTTTGATATCAATCTTACCGTAAAATTTACTAAATATAGTGTGTCAAATGAAATTGAGCCAACAACATCTCTACATCCAGTTATGTGTCGACTTCTTCTAGCAACATAAGTTTTAATTCTTCACATTTGATTTTTAAAATACATGCAAATGATTTTCAATAGCATCGATAGCTTCACAAATTGGGCAAACGCGATGTGTTTAATAGTAAACAGAAAAATATGCAGCAGTTGTTCCTCTTGCATAGTGGGTAAAATTAAATTCGATAGAGAAATGTGGACTTGTTAATCAAGAACTTGCAGAACTTATTTAATGAATGAAATCGCACCTTTTCAAACATTTTGAATTTATCTTTGGTCAATAACTTTAACATTATTTATGCTTGGTATTCGTCTACAACTGAAGACAGTGAAAATTTTCCAGAGTTCGATGATTACGCATTTCGGATTGGAAATTTTTTCAGAAAACCATGAAAGAAATCTGTATTTGGAATTGTTTAAAAGGTAATCAAAAGATCGGCGGAAGTACAGTTAGGGTCGATATCGCCATAGGAACCAGAGAAAATTTGCAACACGACAACAACCTTGTTATTTGTGGATATATAACTACAAATCCTAAAAAACGATTTTATCCAATTCTTCTCCTTCTACAAAGGAAGTTAAAAATTGTTTGAAATTGCGGCTGGGTCCCGGTTCAAACATATATACTAAAAATATAGGCTATGGATTCCTGGGAAATACGAAATGGATTCACTGTCCGCGGCCAGATATGTTAACCGAATCAGCTTGGCTACTTATTTTATGGAGAAAGTTCAATATGCATATAGAGTGACCCTTTGAACAATTATTTAAAAACGTCGTCGAATATTTCTCTAATTACAGGCAACATCTTCAAATTTAACAAACACGAATACTCCAACTTAAAATACAAAAAGTCCTAAATTTAAAGATTTATGCCATGGTCGAAAATGAAATAATACAGCAAAATATTCTCTCATTATCATGTAGCGCTACTTCTTTATTTTCATAATACTTGTAAGATACAAAAAAAAAAAGAATTCCCAAAAAATCATTTTTATGGCCTTGAGTTTTATTTAATGTTTTTCATCGTTGACTCTCCGCTCTGTTGGCACTAAGTAAACTTTTTAATAATAATTATCATGGGCTAGGCCAGATCACAATAAGGCTTGCCGACTGACAAGTGAAGTTAAAACATTTTCTATTTTTTACACTTTCTTAATATTATAAAATAAATTACATAAATTTGTATGTTGCATAGCTACAGTAAGACCTCGTTTTGCGCTTAGGATGCGTTTCTAGACAAACAAAGAGCTAAATGAAACAGCGTTAAACTAGGTCATTTTAACCCATAGTAAATAGAGAAAGGGGAACACGCGACCAAAAATAAACTAATTTTAATTTAAAGTTATTTTTATATTAATTCGCATAATAATATATGTTACATAATACCAACATATGCACACAGAAATATAAAGTTTATTTTTGTGATAAAGGTCCTGGTGCTTCTGAAATTCTTGGTTTTGGCGATGAATTTGTCTAGTATCATTTGTGGTAAGCAAGTTCTTTGAATTCTTCGTTTCCAGAGTCACTATTTTCCAGTTCTACATAAATTCGTTGTTCCGCCCGTTCTTGAAAGTCGACGTTAGTAATGCTCTCACCAGTAACCTGCAGTAACTCCTCAATATCCTCCTCATCTACATCTCTTAGTCTTGCTATATCGATTCGATTGACAATTTGGTCAACGATAGGCTCTTCTTGTTCAGAATCCTTGGATACCTCTTCTTCCATACTCTGTTTATCAGTTAATCTTACCCAGCGAAGTCGATTTTGCATACCGGCATCCATAATGTTATATTTTTTTCCAAAATTAAACTAAACAAACAGATTTAGAGGAAGCACAGCGATACGAAGAATTGTCACCTTTTGATGATTGGTTCGTGTCGGAAATAATCTTATTATAGGTCTATATGAATCAATGAAATGCAGCGATAATTTGAATAAGCGTAAATTTCGAGCTTTTGTTTTTAGGCATCGAGCAGACCGCGTTATATCGAATCAGCGTTAATCGAGGAAGTGCTAAACGAGGTCTTACTGTATTTCAATATATATAATGTATACGTGAAAATATATTTATTAATATAAAATCATAAATCATAAAAATTGAATTGATTTTACACAGTAATTCTTATATTTCAGTTAAAATTTCAGATAATTGTCACGTATACTTGTATATAATGTATATTTTCGCTGCCCTCTTTAACTATAAATGAGGAAACAAAAATATTAATCTTAACGAAAAGTTATTAAACTTTAAATAACTCTAATATTGTCAAAGTCTACGCTAGCAAAATGTCATATTATACAAAGAAATTAAAGATAGTTTATCATAAATATTCAATGCTAAATTACATTATACTTTAATATATATTATATAGACTTCTAAAGCTTTTACTTTGAAGCACTTTGTAGTGAAGAGTCACATCTACGACGTTAGCAATGAAAAGTAAAATAGTGAATTCACGAGAAATATTATTCTTTCTGCTTATTTGTACAATTCTTATTGTACCACATGGTAAGAAATATTTATTAAAATATAAAGCAGGCATATTAGTTTAAGAATAAGAAGCCAATAATAGATTTTCTATCTGATACAGGCTCATAAAATTATTAGAGACTAGAATTGTATGGAGTTAACAGAAAACCTTACTATAACTGTAATCTAGTTAAAACGAATTTATATCGTTATCTGTACATAAATTTACCATTCTTACGTAAGAGGGAATTTTTTTAATGTTGCAATAATGTAAAATTTGCTTCTAATTGTTTCCTTCCTATGCAGATAATATAATATTATAGAACTTGAAGTGCAAGTGAATTTATTCTTGAATATTTTATGATTATGCACTGTAAAAATGAAGAATTGTTTACAACAAATCATTGTGAGCAGTTAATTGGCTCCAGACCGGTGATGCCTACATCAGGACTGACATCACTTTATCCTTTAAGGCTGATACAGAAACCTTCGGCTGCTATTCCGATTGTGCGCGAGCGGTCGCGTATGTAAACATTAGGAGTCCGAAATGGAGACAAGCCGAGAGACGACGCGGCCGAAAAAAGTGCACACATATACAGGGGATAACAAAGAGTTCTGTTAATCTTCAAAGAGCGGTTTAAATCGGACAAGGGATATAGCGTAACATGTTAATTAACGGGTTCCTAGCCGAGAGAGAGAGAGAGAGAGCTTATAATATTACGCGCGATGCGAAATACCTTGATTGGTGCGTTGATTAAGTTATGGATGGGTGCCACCAGTGGCCAAGCGGTTCCGTTCCCTGAACACTGGGAGTTCGGTCGTGGGTTTGCGCCTCGCTCGGATGGGCTGGCTACGTGGAGTTTTTTTTTCCGAGTTTTCTCCGCGTCTGTAACGCCTAAATAGGAGCCAGTTTCCCTTAAAAAGACCTCACGAAAAGCATTCCCCTAGGCCAGGGGTCGGCAGGAGCGGCTCTTTGCGTAAACGTTTGCGGCTCTTCGGACATAAACTCCAATTTCACCTCATCTCAAGCAGCCTTATAACTTATGAGTTTATGAGATAGAGCCGCCGAACAAACTTCGACTCGTACTCTCTACTATTCCGTCCGCACATGATCACACTCGCGTTGATCTATATGAGTCGGATGGGAGTGGCAGCATTTGAAGCATACATATATATACAGTAGAGCATCGATTATCCGACCCCCGATTAACCGTCACCTCGGTTAACCGACCGCGTTCTAGTCGGCAAATTCAAATGTCCGCTAGTGATGTGGCGCTACAATATTTGGCTATATCTTGGCTACTTTAATATTATTTTTACGTGTTTTAGCTGGCAAGACTAGATCGACCAGTATTTAAACGAGACTTAATTTTCTAATTTTTAACGATACAATAGCGACGATTATTATTTTTTAAAAAATTTGATAGGCTTAACATGGAGGAAAATTCAACGCGAAGTAGGTTAATAGCGATATACTAATATAGGGGAAGGGAGGGCAAGATGGAAGGGGTGGGCAAGATGGAAACTACACACCCATCCCGAACCACCCGAATCTCCATGTACACAGAGACACCTGGATATCTTGTATTTACGAACGGCGACTCAGACCGGTTGATGCCACCAAGTGACGTGTGCAAGTATTTCATATTTCGCAGCAGATTATTACGCAGTCATTGGACTTTTGCAGTGTTATTATTTATACCTAGAAAGTAAGTATTACTATTTTGTTTTTATACAAAGTACAGTACCTATTAGGGGTAGATTGAATGAATTGATATTTAAAGAGGAAAAAAATTCAAGGATTTTTAAAGCGTTGATATTATTATTGGCAATGGGCATTTGGGCAAGATGGAAAATTGCATTTTAGGGCAAGATGGAATAGTTTCCAAGTTTCCCGCACGCAATTATTTTGATTTCTGTTTTCAATTTATCTAACTAATTGAGAATGTAATTATTTTAGATGGTGAACAAGTATATAAGAAAGAGCAACAGATGTTTTTGGACTGAAGAAACTGCAGATGGCGATGGATGAAGGTTTTGTATATTATGTAGAGAACCATATGTGAAACCGCTCACAGAGGACTTGGTACCAGTGTCCAGTGTGTTGTGGTTGGGCACATGAACTATGTACAGACACAAAAGATGGATGTTTTTATATGTCAATTGTAAAACGTAGGAATATCCTATGTATTCCATCTTGCCTTCAGGGTGAGGGCAAGATGGAATTTTTGACGTTTTTACTTCATGATTCCTAACAGATTTTATACTTAATATTAATTATTTTTAATTACACAATTTTTTAATCATCTAAGATCTCTGTCGAGTCTGATTAAAAGAAAAGATCTATATTATGTTATTTTATGTTTTTTACATCATAAAGTTAAACCTTCCATCCTGCCCTCCCTTCCCCTACTAATTACATGGCGTATAATAATATACTACACTAATAATGGATTTTTTCATACTTTTCGTTTATCCGACTTTTCAATCCTGTTTCCATGACAATTTGGCTCTTCTCACTTGACAAACTGTCGATCCCTGCCCTAGGCAGATCGTCCAAGTGTTGCGTTGCCATTACTAAACAAACAAACTAACTAAGCCATGGATTGTTTTGACAAAGGAGTGAAGAGGTTTCGGCTGGATTGGATACTACTACTGGATAGGGCAGAATTTTTTGATCGAATGTCCGATAGAAATAGACAGTTATGGTCCGGCGACGACAGGGGTGGAGAACGGCGGGAATGCACTTGCACAAGGATATGGATAGGCAAACTCTCGGACCTTCTCGTCTTCGATTCAATTCTTTTATATCCCGTGTCCTCCCCCTTTGGTTTCGATGCCCTCTTTTTAGCCAAGTTACTAATTTCGATCAATAGTGAATATTTGTAGTTAGTTCCTGGTGACAAATTCGATGAGTCTCCTGCGAAAGGAAGTGATTTCGGGGAGAGATATGCGAAAAATTTGTTTTCGCTGGGATTTGAACTACTTTAACATTCGAAAGACGAAGTTTTTTAGAGAAAAATTTCGTCCAAGTTTGGCTTTCTCACAATTAATTACAGAGTTAAAATGGATTACATTGATGGAATAAGATAAAGCAATACTTGAACGATCTGCCTTCCGGGAAAAGCTTCTTATGTAAAGCAGGCTCCTGTTCAGGTTAAGACACGTGAAAAAAATTCGTAAACCGCCACGCGGCGAGCCTGTTGGCGAAGCGCAAACCAGTTTAGTAGTGTTATTTACTTGGACACTGGTGAGCAAATCCGCTATATGATACGGATGAAGGCTGATCTCAATTCCATTTTGCCTATGATCAATTATATAGGCTTGAACCACCATAATTGATCATAAGCATGCTCATGTTAGTCTACAGCAAGGTAGAGATCCAGGTTCGAATCCATGTCATCACGGCGGTAACATTTTCATTAGAGTGTTGTAGTTATATTTATTCTATTTAGTTGAAGTATTGTAAAAATCGAAAATAAACGTTTTAACTGTTAATTTATTATAAAATGCATCAATTTTAAAAACGGCAATACGTTATTATTTTAATATTTATGATTTTTTATAGGCTGTTCTCCACTTGTAAAAGTTCAAGTATGTGGACACGATTTGTATACAATGCTGGTTAACGCCTGTTTGTCAACATTGATATCATGGCGTCGTAAGTAAATTCCATTATCGAATTTCACAAAATATTAATTATGTTGCGATAAAATATCCGATTTTCAACTTTATTTAATTTCAGTTACAGAATATCGTGCATACTATGACGACTTTTTTTCAACAGGAGCAGGATCCGAACTCGTAGATTTGTGTTGCGAGAACAAATGCGAAGAATCGGTATTCCAAGATGATCGGAAGTGTGAACTCCTCATTCCTGTTGATGTTAGCATTGGTAAATAAATTAAAGGTTAAACATTGCATAAAGAACTCGTTTATTTAGCCTAAATTTGGAAAGATTCTTCAATAAATTGAAAATAAAACTGTATTGATAATTAATTTGTTTTGAATACTTGTAAAATGGTTTACTAGCATGACTTAGATTTGATTTTTTAGATTTTTCAAGACCTTTCCTTTATTGAGAAGGTTGTAAAGGAAAACCGTCGTAAAGCCAGATGACCATTTTTTCGTAAGCTCAATGTCGTAAATTAAAGTTTTGTTCCGAGATCAGTTTGAATTCCATAATAGCACACGAGTTGCTGCAATCAGTAATACAATTTATACTAATTATAATATTGTATATACTGTATTCAACTTAATAAAGTTTAGAGTTTTCGAATTAAAGTTTAAGAATATTTTTATATTGATGTGAATTTTCTGCAAAGATTTACGAAAATATCGTATCTACTGAACGCTCACTGCTAGTTGGTAACGAGTTTGTGCTTCATTAACGAGCTGGTCACGAGGCGTTTCCGAGTTTTATTTGCGTATGTAATACTTAAATATGACTAATTTTTGATTGAACGTCCTCCCGAGGATTCCACCTTTCGCATATCGCCGGTATGTTGTATTGCTTTATCCCATCATGCCAGACTTCATTCTTCCACTTAACTTGGTTCAGAAACATCTGTAGAATTTAGATAAATATTTAAAACGCTTTATTATATTCTAACTTCGTCATTATTCACACATTCTCTACAAGTCATATGATACAATCAATTGTTTGTTATTGCGCAATATGCGAGTTTCTTCACTTTATAATTAAAAGCAAAATTGGATATACAGTAGTCAACTCGATTTACAAATGAAAATATATCTACAAACATTTAAGCAAAATATATTAGAAAAAATTAAGAGTCGAATTGAATTGATGGTGTAGTGCAACATAACATGGGAGAGTTGCCAAGAAGTGATGCCTCGTGGAGGACCTGGTCCCTCTTTAGAGTTAGACACGTGAAGAAATTTCGAAAAACTCCACGTGGCCGGCCTGTTGATTAGTTGCCTTCAACTATCAGCATTTGGTGGTTTTTATCCACTCGGCCACTGCTGAACGCCAGTTTCTGTCGAATTCAATGAGTCACTGATATCAAACGATAGTTTTCGCTCTGATAGAGCCATTATTTCATTTATTTACATAAAAATTGCAAAATTTGATAATTTTTATTAAACAGTTTAATTTTATATACAACCGTTAGAAAATTATATTTACAGTGGTAACCTTCTGCTTCTTTAATTAAATTAATTAATATTCCTCGAGTTCTATAAATGCAGGCATGAGAAGCTTACAATTTTCATGGCTATTTAATTTAATACGGAATAATTGCATTTCGTTCTCTGTATAAATGTTTGATTATAAAATATAATGATATTTTTATCGGTTTATCTCTTAAGCAAAATATGATATAGCATCACGTGTCACATGTTCGTCCATTATATAGTTCAACGTGTTCGTCCATAAGTAAAAGAACCCTTTCAGGGTTGTCTTACTTATGGGCGAACATGTTGAACTATATAATGACATCAAACACTATTAAATTATGTTTCCATCTAATAATTTGGCTAACGCCGGCCCAAATTATAATAACGTATAGACTCTCTCATTTGTTTGAAAGTACACATTAGCATTCTAAAGAGAAGGTAAACATTAAAATACATTGAACAATAAATTTAATTCTTATTATACTTTATTTAATTTGCCAGGCTAGGATAAGTAAACAACATGTTAAATGTTATTTTCATTTTATAGTTTTATTGCAACAAAACAGTACAGTGAAACCAAGATATTACGTCCTCCTGTATAGCGCCATTCTTTTTAAGCGTTAATGTAAATTGTAAACGTATTTTTCATTAAAGAAAATTACTAAACGAGCGATTTCACCGTGAGCGATATTAACACCAAATCACTTAACTTTCAAACTCTCAAACTTACTAAAAGAATTCAACGCTATACATAATTCTTATTGTGTGAGATAACTTGCTTCAGTTTAGCGCCATACTCGGTTTAGTGTTAATTTCAGAGGTAAATAAATGGTGTTAAATCGAAGTTTAACGAAAATTCTTTACGAATTTTCAGTTTGTTCGAATAATCTTAAGTAATTTCTTTGAATCATTTTAAGTGTGAAAAACTAGAAGAATAGTTTCAGGATCTAAGAATTACAATAATCATTAAAATAAATTAAGTCAAAGCGTGAATTTGAGAATATTTTTTAGCTAAATTATGTTTAGAAAGTGAAATTACGTAGGAAACAATATCAACAATGATTTTGTACTAAGATTTGAAACTTAAATTACTTCCATTACAATATTTTAAAATATAGTCAATCCAGAATCACGGCAGTGACGATGCGCCAAAAAACTAACTGAGTGACTATTGTGTACAGTATATACAGAAATCAGAGTTTCCGATTTTTGGGAGTCGATTTTTCTGCTTCAAACGTCTATAGTAACTCTGAATGTCTCGTTCGAAAGATAATTTCTTTCTTAGGTAATGCGCAACATTTCGGATTTTTCAATAAAGGAGTTGCCGAAATATAAGCAACCATAAAGTGCAAAAATCTCCAAAAAGCTGCATTTTTATTTTTATTTATTCTTCATCCAACACTGCAGCCGCTTCTAAAGAAAAAACTAGTAGATCTAGAAAGCTTAAATTTTAAACATAAGCCTCTCTCGTTATCAGTGAGAAGCCGGCGAAACTTTCGAGTTGATAAGTGCAAGTTTACGAGTGTTTCTCATAGAGCTATTTTACTTTTCTTGCTTAATATTATATTTGAAGCGTGCAATGTCATAATGTTGTAAATTTCAAAAACAAACTTTTCAGGAGAGATTAAAAATCACTTTTTCTAGTGAATTCCTTCAAGTCGTTTGAATTTTAAAATAAAATGGTAAAAACTCATACGTTACAAATTCTCTGAATAACAAAATGATGTAAAGATATGCTTCAAAAGTCACGTGACTTGCACTTTGGTGTTAAAGTGCAAAACATAGGTCTTTCACATAAATTCAATTTGAAAATTTAACCACTTATAGTATCACTATCGCTACAATATTTTTTAGCAGCAGAAAACCTTGTGTTTAGAATTTATTTCTTCAATAAAATGAATTTAGAGAAAAATGACATAACGTTATGGCCAAATATCCAACTCAGCTTTTAAACACTTAAAGAACCATCAACTACTTTCTATTGCTGAGAAATGTTTATTAAACGTCAGAGATTGAAAACGTTAGTGTTTCGTTTAATAAACACTTCTCAGCAACAGAAGGTGTTTGATGATTCATTAACGTTATGGCATTGCACGATTCGCTTATAAAGATAAAATTGCATGGAAACAAATGAGTTTTATTCGAAATTTTATCCAGAATAACAAAAGCTCAAATCTATGCAAATTAAAACTTTTTATAACTTTTTTAAACAGCGTACTGAATAAGTAAAATATTATGACAATTTAGATTACAGTCAAATTTTTTTCTTAGGAGTTTTTCTTTGGTGATTTTAAGCTTGGAGCTTCAAATTGAAATGCAGGAAGCAACAATGAAAATCTTCTGGATACCGTTTCGAAACGTCACGCTTATCTTTACCACTGACTAAATTGACTCTACGATAAATATATCAGTTTAATATTCTGTTGTTTACATCACCAGTACAGTACAAGGGTATATACGTATATATACACTCTTGTATCGTACAAGACTGTATACATACGTATATGCTGTACCCTATTGATACAATAGTTCCATATAAAAAAAAAATATATAAAATACGAGAGAAACATTACATGAACATTTGTGGCGATTGATGCGGCGATCACGCGTTTTTCTATCACACTGTCGATTCATTGTACTTAATATTTAGTCTTTCGAAAATGTTTTTATATTAGCTTGGCAAGACTGTCCTGGCACTCGAACAGGAGATTAAGGAGACTCTGGATCTTAAGGAGATACGATCGTTTTCAATTATACTACAATATAAAATTTATATAATATTAGTGGTGTCTACCGCATGACTGGTTTTACCCTGAGCTCACCATTCGTGGTTTAACGATTTAAATCAGATGCTAATCGATTAGTCACAAAGTTTAATCATTGACGACTATGTGACCGCAGGGTCGGTACCTCTTTGACACAACGTCAGGATGACACCACTGTATCTTTACGGACAGACACAGAAACCGTTTCGTTCTCGCGGAGCGGTCGCGTATGTACGTAATAGGTTAGGTTCGGATTGGAGACGGAAGGAGAACTCCGGAAGAAATGCACTCCACAAGTTTAATAACCGTTTAATTATAAAGGTTATTTACAGGGTTAAGGCTATTTACAAGATTACTTATCGCTAAACTATCGAACAGCTTGAGAGAGGGAGTTTACATGAGATTCGCATGGCGATAAATACCTGGAGTCTGATGAGGTCCTCGTTGAAGGATTATATAAGGTGGATGTCAAGTTTAGGCGTTGATTAAAGTTCAGATGTTAGTCCAGGTTGGTTTCACTTCAGCCGCTAATCCAGATTTGGGTTAAGGATGGCGATGGAGGGATGCACACACACGGTAAGGTTCACGAATGGTGACGAAAACGCGCTGGTTCGTCAGCACCCACTCCGATTTATACGGGAGTCTCTTCTGGATTTTTCCACTTACTCATTCAAAGATTTAGTATGTTGGGTCCAATCAACGAATTTTCTCGTTGAGTTCAAGTGACGCAGTTGATGTGTCACTTTCAACAAGGAACTAATTCCGTGGGAAACAGTTTAATCTCCGATTTAATCAGTAATTTTTTTGAAAAATTATCTGGATTTGAACAACAAAATATAATAATTTAAAATAATTTTTTCTAAAACTCTTCTTTAATAATAAAGTTTCTTCTAATTTCGGCTCTCACAATTACGTACAAAGACAATCAGCAAACGAACGGCGCTAGTTTTATAATTGAGTCTTGCCCATTTTTTTCTCACTGTTTATTGTGCTTCAAAATGGAAGCAAAGATATCTAATTTAATGGCTGATTTTAAAATTCGACCCTTTCAAAGTTTGTTTCAGAGCGACTTAATACAGTTCGTGTGTAATAACTTTTGAGCTTGTTCGTGTTGCCAGCCAATGACGTTTTGGGCTATACAAACGAATATAGCGCTGTTAAGATAGAGTCAGTTGTTATGTTAAATTGTTTAAAATTCGAGGAATGTTGAGCAAAAATCTAGTAACGTGTGTTTGTACGCTTATAAACAAAACTGAACTGCTGCGCGCGCTATGTAAACAGCCAAAATTCCAGTTTAATGTCACATTCACCCGGACAATAACCATATTAAATTTGGTGGAAATTTATCAAACGGATTCGGAGAAGTTTATTTAAGTTATATCTAATGCCATTTGAGTGTAAATAAATGAGCTTCGTTTACTCAGTCCAAGCATTAATTAGCATAAAAAGTAAAAGCCTTTTTGTGAGTACGGACAGGTCTCTAAACAAATTGTAAATGTCAATAAGGAGTAAATTTTAATTAACTTTGACCCCACTCTAGATATGTTCCATATCCCTTTTGTCATCTCTAAAATTTAATAGCAAATGCCCCATGTATGAAAATTACTGTACCAAGTTTCAAAATTTTTGGATTAGTCTTGAGATATGATGCAAAATCGACGCCGATACACACAGAATATTATATGCGGATTTCTTTTTACATTTTTGGTTTCGTCAAAACGTTCAGAGACGTTGTGATGCAAAGGAACCAGGAGAGGAGATAGAATTTGACCGATCACCATACTTTCAGCTATGCTATATTATACAACAGTCGAGAAAATAAATATGTCAAATGTTATTTAATGCCAAGTAAAAATTTAGGTTCTGAAAAATAAAATGAATTAAAGTATAATTCTACCAAAAAGTTTTCCAAAAATTTTCTTCTGTGCTAAATTCAATTGAAGCAAAAATAAATAAATAAATAAAATAAAATGTTTGACAAAATTATTTATTCAATTTTTTTTTTAAATCTCAAGCGCAGGTAAAATTACAAAACTGTGGTTTGAAAGATACAACAAAACGATTAAGATCTGACAATGAAAATGAATACAACAGGCNGTTTTCTTTGGTGATTTTAAGCTTGGAGCTTCAAATTGAAATGCAGGAAGCAACAATGAAAATCTTCTGGATACCGTTTCGAAACGTCACGCTTATCTTTACCACTGACTAAATTGACTCTACGATAAATATATCAGTTTAATATTCTGTTGTTTACATCACCAGTACAGTACAAGGGTATATACGTATATATACACTCTTGTATCGTACAAGACTGTATACATACGTATATGCTGTACCCTATTGATACAATAGTTCCATATAAAAAAAAAATATATAAAATACGAGAGAAACATTACATGAACATTTGTGGCGATTGATGCGGCGATCACGCGTTTTTCTATCACACTGTCGATTCATTGTACTTAATATTTAGTCTTTCGAAAATGTTTTTATATTAGCTTGGCAAGACTGTCCTGGCACTCGAACAGGAGATTAAGGAGACTCTGGATCTTAAGGAGATACGATCGTTTTCAATTATACTACAATATAAAATTTATATAATATTAGTGGTGTCTACCGCATGACTGGTTTTACCCTGAGCTCACCATTCGTGGTTTAACGATTTAAATCAGATGCTAATCGATTAGTCACAAAGTTTAATCATTGACGACTATGTGACCGCAGGGTCGGTACCTCTTTGACACAACGTCAGGATGACACCACTGTATCTTTACGGACAGACACAGAAACCGTTTCGTTCTCGCGGAGCGGTCGCGTATGTACTGTACGTAATAGGTTAGGTTCGGATTGGAGACGGAAGGAGAACTCCGGAAGAAATGCACTCCACAAGTTTAATAACCGTTTAATTATAAAGGTTATTTACAGGGTTAAGGCTATTTACAGGATTACTTATCGCTAAACTATCGAACAGCTTGAGAGAGGGAGTTTACATGAGATTCGCATGGCGATAAATACCTGGAGTCTGATGAGGTCCTCGTTGAAGGATTATATAAGGTGGATGTCAAGTTTAGGCGTTGATTAAAGTTCAGATGTTAGTCCAGGTTGGTTTCACTTCAGCCGCTAATCCAGATTTGGGTTAAGGATGGCGATGGAGGGATGCACACACACGGTAAGGTTCACGACTGGTGAGGAAAACGCGCTGGTTCGTCAGCACCCACTCCGATTTATACGGGAGTCTCTTCTGGATTTTTCCACTTACTCATTCAAAGATTTAGTATGTTGGGTCCAATCAACGAATTTTCTCGTTGAGTTCAAGTGACGCAGTTGATGTGTCACTTTCAACAAGGAACTAATTCCGTGGGAAACAGTTTAATCTCCGATTTAATCAGTAATTTTTTTGAAAAATTATCTGGATTTGAACAACAAAATATAATAATTTAAAATAATTTTTTCTAAAACTCTTCTTTAATAATAAAGTTTCTTCTAATTTCGGCTCTCACAATTACGTACAAAGACAATCGGCAAACGAACGGCGCTAGTTTTATAATTGAGTCTTGCCCATTTTTTTCTCACTGTTTATTGTGCTTCAAAATGGAAGCAAAGATATCTAATTTAATGGCTGATTTTAAAATTCGACCCCTTTCAAAGTTTGTTTCAGAGCGACTTAATACAGTTCGTGTGTAATAACTTTTGAGCTTGTTCGTGTTGCCAGCCAATGACGTTTTGGGCTATACAAACGAATATAGCGCTGTTAAGATAGAGTCAGTTGTTATGTTAAATTGTTTAAAATTCGAGGAATGTTGAGCAAAAATCTAGTAACGTGTGTTTGTACGCTTATAAACAAAACTGAACTGCTGCGCGCGCTATGTAAACAGCCAAAATTCCAGTTTAATGTCACATTCACCCGGACAATAACCATATTAAATTTGGTGGAAATTTATCAAACGGATTCGGAGAAGTTTATTTAAGTTATATCTAATGCCATTTGAGTGTAAATAAATGAGCTTCGTTTACTCAGTCCAAGCATTAATTAGCATAAAAAGTAAAAGCCTTTTTGTGAGTACGGACAGGTCTCTAAACAAATTGTAAATGTCAATAAGGAGTAAATTTTAATTAACTTTGACCCCACTCTAGATATGTTCCATATCCCTTTTGTCATCTCTAAAATTTAATAGCAAATGCCCCATGTATGAAAATTACTGTACCAAGTTTCAAAATTTTTGGATTAGTCTTGAGATATGATGCAAAATCGACGCCGATACACACAGAATATTATATGCGGATTTCTTTTTACATTTTTGGTTTCGTCAAAACGTTCAGAGACGTTGTGATGCAAAGGACCCAGGAGAGGAGATAGAATTTGACCGATCACCATACTTTCAGCTATGCTATATTATACAACAGTCGAGAAAATAAATATGTCAAATGTTATTTAATGCCAAGTAAAAATTTAGGTTCTGAAAAATAAAATGAATTAAAGTATAATTCTACCAAAAAGTTTTCCAAAAATTTTCTTCTGTGCTAAATTCAATTGAAGCAAAAATAAATAAATAAATAAAATAAAATGTTTGACAAAATTATTTATTCAATTTTTTTTTTAAATCTCAAGCGCAGGTAAAATTACAAAACTGTGGTTTGAAAGATACAACAAAACGATTAAGATCTGACAATGAAAATGAATACAACAGGCCCAAGATAAATGACAAAATGGCGTTAGCAGAAATTTAATCAAGGCTCAGTAAGCCTAGAATTACAGCGGTTGGCTGCTAATTACTGATGTCGACGTATATCAATATTAAGCATATTTAGCAAAAACACAAACGCAATGATTGTTATATGTATTTTTTTAAGGTGCTTGGCTTATGGAATTATTTCATCGTAATCGAGTCTTTCAGTTATTTCCTATGGAAAACAAATTCACGTAATAAAATAATTGCAGTTCGTGCAAATTACTACTTATATTAAAATACATTTATTAAAATCAATTATAAGATTTTATTTTTTATTAATAAAAGTCTTAGTACACAAATTTTGAGAATAACTTCTGTATAAATACAATTCTTATGCCAACAGATAAACTATTCAAATTATGTTGGTGATAATCTAAATTATCGAAAACACTCGATAGTAAAATTTATATTTAAATTAAATTAAATTAATTAAAGTCAAGTTTACATTCATACAATCACGTTTATCTAATGCCCATGAAGCATAATATAATATGATTCCACTCCTGGAAACTTTGCGACACCTTCGCACTTGTGGCAATTGAAAGCCGTCACATGTAATTAAAATCATTAGCATGAACTAAATTAAACATTTTCCATTAACATAAAAGCCGTCAGAGATATGCTGAATCACGTCTATTTAGTTTGTATATAAATTCAATTGCTAAGTTAGTTTTAACCAGATTCTATAACTATTTGTTCGATTAAAGGATAAGGAAGTACATACGGTACTTCCTCTGAAGGTATCTCAGCAGAGCTGTCAGGCTTCCTTGTTGTAACTCTAGTATTTGGAGGATAACGAATTTCTGGCCTTTTAGTATGTGAAGGCATAGTTGGTCTTGCTGGTTCTACAACTGGTTTCCTTTGCGGAGGTCTTACCGTACAAGTATTTTTGTCTGCGTAAAAGTGCTTTACTCTTGGATATCTTGATAATATAGGATTCTGTAAAATTGTTTAAATATACATTTTACACATTCAGACATTAACATTGTAATTTTAATTTTAAATTTATTCTTACAATTATCCCTTTTCCTCCTCTATCGAAACAAAAATTTATATGTGGACTGAATTTCATGGCTCTTTGCACGGCCTTTACTGAGCTCTTATTCCATGGATACGAATCGAGAAAACTGAAATAACTCTCGTTTTTGCTAGTTAATGGAGAAACGACAAATCTTTCATCACTGTAGTAATAAAATAATACTCATTAAATAAGTGAATAAATATTTTAAAGTAAAGTTTGAACTGTAAAGAGAAGCTTACGATGACATTTCGTTAATTCCCATTGCTTTTAGGACGTTGCTAGGAGAAGGACAACTAAGTGCTCCTGACATATTTAATCTTGGATAATATCCCAAGAATGCTACACACATCTCTTCTTTCGTTGAAATTCCACCCTAAAGTTTATTTTTGCACGTTTAAATTTCGAGGAATATATAAGCATAAGAAAGAAAACTGACATACGTAAGTTGGAGTGCTTCTCTCTGAAGAATCATAAACACATTCGACAATCAGATGATCCGTCTGAAAGTTAATAAATATGCTTTTATCAGTATTAATAAATTTGAAAATTATATATTTATGAAATTAAGCAGCAACTTACAGGTAAAACAGTTCGTTCTCTCGGAAGCGTGCGGTATTCCTAATAGAAAGAATTTTCTTTTATAATAAATATTTTAAAAATCAATTCGTACTTAATAGTTAATATATTATCTATGAATATTACTGCTTCTCAACGAATAAATTATTAGAATAACAAATATTTATTTGATATTTCAGTTTTAATTAATTTATTATAATATATTGATTGAAAAAGAATACGTTAATCATGAATTTTGAGTTTATCACAATGCAGTGATAATGGAGCCGAATGGATAAAACTACTGAACACTGGTAGTTAGTTGGTCGCGGGTTCGCCTCGCCAACGGGCTGGTGAATAAAGTTTCCCGGGATTTCTTTACGTTAGTAATATCTAAATATGGGCCAGTTTCCTTAGGAAAAGTCCTCTCGGAAGGCATAGCCTACGTGTAGCTTTGCCTTATGCAAATAAACTAAACCAATGATGATCCACAATGCAATCAACTCAGCATGGTGTTAGCAGCATAAATAAAATAACAGAACTCCATTTAATATGTTTTAAATATTAACAGTTAAAATATTTACAAAACAATTAATTATTATTACTTTGTTTGCATTTTAAACCCTTTCCGGCCTGTAAGGCATTAAGAAGGCCTTTAATCATATGTATTATGGGTTTGGCGAAGCCTACAATAGATCTGCCGAGTGGTAAAGGACGACGTATCTGGAACAGATTATCTATAGAAAAAAGTCCTGGACCCATGCGATCCCGCATCCATCTCATGAATTTTTTTTTTATTAAGAACAAAAGCGTTTTCTTTTGATTGCAAGAACGGCATTTTATATTTTAAGTTTAGAAAAATGTCTGAAATTATCCTGAAATATTTATAGAATGCTTTCAAACTGTATAAGAAGACGTACAACTTATCTAATATTCTAAGATTCAAGAAAATTACTAATTCAGATATAGAATAACCTAATCTAACAATTTAATTTTTTTAACCATAAAAATAAAATAATAGATTTCATTTTATGAATTGTTAATAGAGTACCGTATCAATTATTCAGCTTCTAAAAATCCGGAATTACCAGAAAATCGGCTATTTTGAAACTGGCTATAATTAAATTTGGTGGGCTGTAGTATAGCTGGCGTAGCCTCTCACTATGCCAGTTCCAGTGTCAATGCTAAATACGTTGTGTTAAACAATGGAAAGTGAAGAACGAACTTGTGTTTATTTTATATTCTAAGTATATATTTAGTTTGTGTCCAAAAACAGTAGAATCCAGAAATTTGGATCACTTCCGGTTCCAAGCTTGCTGGATGTTTGGTCCGGTACTGAACTGTTATTAATACGAATAAACTTTCTTTCAAATAAGTACAGTAAAAACCCCGATTATCCGAGGTTTCGCGTTATTCGAGGAACATACTACTTATTTATACTGTAATTGATAAAAGTAAAAATTGTGTTTTACACTTTGGTAGTTGTGTTTTGTCCGCTGCTACTAGTGTGCCAAATCAACAATGGAATACGAAAAATCTTCGTGTTTTCTTACATACATTTTCGTTTCGACATAGTTCATTAATTATAGATAAATTTTTTACAATTTTACGTATGTAGAACGGGGGTCCCAGCCACGCTGCGCTCGGTCCCCATTTTTATAATCGGAATATGACTTAAAGAATGCAAAATGCAGCTAGAGAATAAATTAAAACAAAGACAAAGATTTACGTGATTTCCCTACAATAAGTTTCATCGTTTTTACGGATTGCCTCTGCATATTAAGAGTCATTCCTACAACTCTAGCTATATTTTTTCTGTAGCTAGGTTTAAAGAAGCATCACTACTAGGCACTGTATTTGTTTAACACGCTGTTTCAAGAAACATATTAACCGAGGATTACTTTATAAATGCGACTGTGTTCCATCATTTATATTAAAACTATATTATTAGATACAGCCTTATTTATCATCATTAATCAATTGTTTAACTGAAAGTTTGTCCTAGATACAGGCGAATCGAATTAATGAATGATTGATGGAGAAAATTTTATATTTAATCTGTATTAAATATTCTTACTTGATAATTAAAATCATAGTTTCTGTCTCTACTTAAAGGTTCTAGTTCTCTGTTTCCTCGAAAATGTCTTACTGTTATTCTTTTACCTGAAAATTAATTTCAATATTTTATCGATGAAACAAAAAGAATAAATTTCTTTTATTATAATTACAAACCTATAATATGTGAATGGAGTAAAGTAGTATATACTTTAATTCCCTCAGGAGGAAATCTCTATAAATTTAAAACTTTTTGTAATATGATTGACATAAAAGAAAATCACATATAAAAAGATGCTAACTTACCTGTCTAAGACAAGATGGATGTGCGTGACCTGATATTGTAAATTCTTCTTGCTTCGGTGGTACAAACATACAAGGGTACCATAAAGAACCTATAGACAATGTTCCACTGTCATGTTCTCTAAGCATAGATGTATATGTGATTCTTAATCCGGAACTATCCACCACTCCTAATTAATAAATATTTAAATTAAAAGATATTTTTTGCGGTTTCCATTTATGATTTTTGTTTATTGATAAATATTGTCAGTAAAGTAAGATATCTAATTTTAATTCGGTTATTTTTAGTACATATCGATCAAACAACGGCTAATATCAAAAAACATATTAGCTTAGTTCCACCAGTGGCAGAGCGGATAAAAACCACTGAACACTGAATGGTCACGAGGTTCCACCTCACCAATAGGTTGGCCACATGGAGTTTTCTGGGTTTTCTTCACATGACCTAAACAGGATCAGTTTTCTACAAAGTCCTCTCAAGAAGCATTCTCCTTGGAAAATCGCCTAAGAAGTTGGCTTATTCCATTAATCCAATTCATAATAACTGAATGTAGCTAATAATTGAAGTCATAATTTATAACTCTACTTTACGGATGGACAGATGGCCAAGACGGTTAAGGCAACAATCTACTGTTCTGGAAGACTCAAAATAAAATTCTGGCAAACAACTCAAGGAATGGGCAGTCTGCTTCGCATATATCAGATTTATCTTCGTCCGTTCACATTGTGGGCCTGGCCAAACTTATGATAGATATGATTATAAGGCTCTCTTAATGCCCTCAGACAACAATAGGAAAAAATAAATCCTGCTTAAAGCGTTATTTATCTGTTTCCTAAAATAATCTCCTATTATTATTTCCCCTGTCAAATATGTAAATAAGAAAAATTCTTCAGAGATTTTTAAACAGTTTTTGATTGACAATAAAAAATGTTTCTATATTTTTCAATAATTTATTATAAAATACCTTTTTCTAATCCGGGATTATCGTAATGAACTTCTAAAAGATACCAAACTAAATTTGGTAATCCAATCGGAAAGCCGACGTTGTTTGGTAAGTATGAATGCTGTAAAAATATTAAATAATTAAATATTAAATATTACAAAACTGCAGTTATAAAAATAAGTAACATACCCCTCCTCCAACAGCCCATCCAACAGTAGGAGTTAAGCAAAACGTGAAGATCGGGAAATTATTTTTATCGAAACATTCATGATATTGTTTTTTCAGAAATGGTGCTATTTTATCCTCAGTTACGTAGCATTCGTACAAAACCATGTGATGCACGAATCGCTCATTTCCCGGTTGAATTATCGGAGCAATCTGAATAAATTAAACATTTAAGGTTTTATTAATATATTTGTGTAATATGCTAATATGCCAGTATATGCCAGTGGTTTTCAATCTTTCTGAGGCCGCGGAACCCCATTCATATACTTTTTATTACACTGAGTATTATCATCAATATATTCAAAAATTGATAAGCAATTCCATGTTTACTATTCTCAGGAAACAATGAAGCAATAAAGTAATAAACTTTAATATAGTGAATAAAATAAAAACACGGAATTGTCTACGAATATTGCAATAGAAATAAATTTGAATAAAATCGTTAAAATCTTTTCTTTTGTGGAACACTCGAGATGGTTTGCTGTTCCGCGGAACACTGGTTAAGAACCACTGGTACATGCGGATGTGTTTCAACTGTACGAGGGCTAATCTAAAATTATCCGTAACTTATTGTTAAGATTTATTATGGTAAGAGCTCTTACAAGAACTTCATTTTTCAACATATTTTCTTTGATTTTCAACGTATATAGTTCGTTACACGAATATTTCTATGCCTTCTTGTTTCTTAATAATTTTATATGGAGATTCTAGCTTTATGTGCTCTTTCTCCGATAGACTTATTATGATCGCTATGCGACCGAAGAGCTGGCCTTATGGAAATGGCCTTAACGCGGGCGGGGGAAAGAATGCCTTCCGGGAGGACTTTTATGGGAAACTGGCCCCTATTCAGGTCCAGTAGGACCAGGTCCTGAATAGGGCCAGTTTCCCCTATGGGAAACTGGCCCTATTCAGGCGTCATCGACATGGAGAAAACCCGGAAAACTCCATGCTGCCAGTCCGTCCGAAAGGGGCACGAACCCATGACTGAACTCCCAGTGATCAGGGTCTAGTGCGGAGACGAAGACCGCTCGGTCACTGGTGGGCCCCATTTCTAAGCTTTCAGATAAAAACGTTTTCGGTTGAAAAGCGAGATACTAATACGTTGCTTTTTTTCCTTTTTTTATCCGTTGGAAATTTTTGATTTTTTTAAATGTTGATAGGATCAAGTAGATGCTAACCCAAAGCAGCAAGGACCAGAATTATGCATGTACATTGTAACGTTTCAAAGTCCGATTCTTGAGAATTTGAACAGTGGACTTAGCATTTCGAGAATTAGCACTGTTGTGGAACAATACAATGATTTTAAAAAGTTACTTCAACTCTTTTACTTTTTTACAAATTACAAGCTTCAACTCTTCTGATAATTTTCCATTTGCCACGAACGAAGAAGTAAAGAATGCAATTTTTACTGGTTTGATTTTGAACTAAAAACATTTATTTCTGAAGGCATAAAAAGCTTGGTCAATAATAGACAGCATGAGATGAAAAGCAAGGAAACTATTATGAAAAATGATCTTGTAGTCCCGCTTTAATTTCTCTAATACAGTGAAACCTGCTTAAACCGAGCTCGTGCGGTACCAAATATTTTTTCCAGTTTAACAGGTTTCCGTTTTACACAGAAAATCACTGTTTTCTTAAGAATTTTTCCCGTTTAGGCAGATTCCGTTTTATTAAGGTTTCGTTTTGAACAGTTTTACTGTAGATTTAAAAAATGCAATATGCGGCTAATTGATTCAACCTCGTATTTTGAATAAAAGAGTAATTAATTATTTAAATGTAATTTATTTTAAATGAGTTATTAAGAAATAATCAGCAAATATTATCAACAATTGTCTATAAAACTAACCTGCACTCGCGATACTTTAAATCTCATATTGCAATTATATAAAATTATTGTTTTTTTTTTAAATATAAAATAAATTTCTACTAAATTACCTCTATTCCATGATGCTTGTGGCTTAAATATGGCCTTTTTATTAGAGTACAAAAGTATTGAGTATCTTTATCTTCTGGCAATAAAACCTAAAGAAGAAATTTTCTTTTTTAAATCAAAGATACAAAGAAGTTTTTTATAAGTGACTTACGTTAGCACTTCTAACGTCCCAATAATGAATATCTTCTGTGTTTGCATAATGTTTAAATAATTCTTCATTGTTTCTAAGTAAAATACTTCTTGATCCTCTTCGCTTTGTTCCATGATACAATATTGTAGAAGGTGAATTTGGATCGTCACTATGATAAGCGTAAATCATTCTTACTGTTTCTTCCTGTAAAGAATTTACGTAAAATTTCAAAATATCAATATTTTAAACGTGTGATTATATCTTAATCTCTTACAGGATTAATGCATAAATCCTCATAGTCTCCGGTGTTCATCAATCTTGTAAAGCGAATAGAAGTGTGAGTATCATTTTCGCAGCACCAAAGTAACTTCCAATCTTGACTTTCGTCTATTGCGGGCTGAAATTTTCCATCTGCAAATCTATCCTGTTAATATTATAACGTTTTTTTTACTAAAATTTAACGATATATACTTATCAAATCTATTTTAAAAGATAAATCTTTAATACTTAATTATGTTTCAGATTTTTCTAAAATACTTACATGAAACTGTGCTCTTCCATTCTTCACCCATCCTATTACTATATCGCTACCTGTCATTCCTCCGTTAGGAGAAATTCCGAATCCCACCCATCCTCTTGTGGCTACTTCAACTTGAAATGTGATCCATTCGCCTTGTATTGACCATCGAACTTCGTAATTAGGATCTAATTTTAAATAATTTGTCCAGTTTTGTGCTGATATTAAAGAAAAGCAAAAGATGAGAAGAAGAGAAGCAGAGTTCATTGCATCTCTTATGGAGAACGACTCTCAAATAAAACCAGTTCTTGATGTCTGAAGACTTTACTAATCTCCCACGAAATATATTAAACGTAGTAAATTTCCTTCACCTTTTTTTGTTTTTTTTTTGGTGTTTTTTCTTATTTTACTATAAACGATGCATTTATAATTCGTAAAATAAATAAAAATTTCGTTAGAACTTAAAAGTATTTACTATCTTTTTTAAAGATTGATTCTGATAATATTTATGAAATAAATTTTAATAAATATTTTAGAAAATGGAGAATTGAGATATTTCTTTAATATTTTAGGTTATATTAAATATATTTCTAAATTATTTAATTTTAAAAACAAAGCACGCATTGAAGATAATCATGCATATTTACATCTGTATTATTTCATTATTGTCATAGGAGAAAACTGTAAAAACAAGTTTGAATTTTTTTTTTATTACGTGCAAATGTCTTGCTATTCAACTTATTTGTTTTTTAATGGGTTTAATGGCCTAAGCGTTTGTGTTATTACTGCAAAGAATTTCCTGTGATTTGTTAGCTATTTCGCTCCTCTACTAGCCGGAGATATATTAAATTTCTTCTTATTGAATTAATCTATTAGTTCTTAAAAGCATCTAAATAATTAAATAAATGAAAATAATGTGTTTAAAAATATCAGGATTTAATGATACAATATTGTCACAAGATTTAGAAAACCTGTCATCTATACATGTTGACATTAACTTTAAACTTACTTTAAATTTATGTAATTTTAGACAATTAAAGATTACTTTATCGCTGTAAAATTCTGAGAATTAAAATTTATTTATTTTCAATCGTTCTAGAGGAAAAAAGAAGTTCAAGTTTTTGTATAGATATAGACTGTCTTCCCCCCATTATTTGGCTCTTTCGCCCTAAGAGCATAAGGCTTTTTTATACTGTAATAGGTTCGATTAGTCTCACAAGAAAGCTGACGGATGATGAGGAGGATGCCAAATTAAGGGGAGCTGACCGGGTATTCGCCCGGTGTGCCAAAACTAAAGCCGACACAAGAGCATTCGAGTCTGCGATCTTTCCAAAAATTAATCATCTGGCAATGGAATAATTGCTATACATTCTTCCTCTCTGAGAAAACGCAAATATTAAAAGAACATAAAATAATTCATTATGATGGAAATGTCTACTTATGAAACAGTCACATATTTAAGAATGCTGTTTATATACTTTATCTTTATGTATGTACTAATACAGCCTGTTGAGAATGTATTCTCATAAAGTAAAGCAAAAACAGAATAAAGTGTAAAAATCAAACACTGTAGATTATTCCAAAATAAGAAAAAAAGAATTCTAAATAATTATTTAAAATAAACATCAACAAATACAAATAATTAAATATTTATAATAATTTGAAAAATACATATACTTACAATTAAAAAATACTTAAGTATTATAAGACTGTAGCATCATACACAGAATCTATCAGAGGCACGAAATTATCTCGATTCGGCCCGACTAGAGTATTTTAGAGTGACTGAAGTGTAATTAATTTCATTTCTATTATTTACATGGAACTGAAATAAATTTATCTTGCTTGATGCATTTCATGTGATCATGTGGGTGTAGAACCATAAGCGGCTAAATTTTAAAACCGCATCTTTCAGAAAAAAGGAATTTGCTGTTTTATGCAATCATTTGGAATTTTACATATCTGATGATGGTCCTAAATAGAACGTGTTGAATATATAATAGGATTACTCTATTATTGAAAAATTGCAAACTTAAAATTAACATGTCATCTCACCTCGAATTACACTGATTTTTAAAAATTAAGGAAAAATCACATAAATTGCGATAACTCATGAAAAAAGCGATGTAACTTTATGAAGCTACATGTTGATTTTAATGAATTTGAGAAAAAGTATACATCACATAGTAAGGTGTAAAATAACGTGAAAAATTACGGAACAATTATGATGTTATAGTAATTAGCACATGTATGAAATTGACAAATTGGATATGTCAGTTTACTACAGGAAAAGTATTTTTAATATAGAATATGATCACCCCGAGCAGCACATACAGCGATGTATGATGCTGTCAATTATGTGGTCTATGAAGTCAGTAGAAGATAAGAGTCATTGTTCTTGTAAAGCTGCTCTAAGCCTGGCAACAATCTGAGTGAGGCTGAGGATTCAGAGCATCCCAGACATGCTCGATGTGATTCAGTCCGGAGATCGAGCTGGCCACTCCATACGCTGAATTGTTTGCTGCTGAAGGTAACCTTTTACGTTACGAGCCCTGTATGATCTAGCGTTATTATCTTGTAGAATGAAATTATCGCCTATTGCACCAGCATAAGGCACACAGCATAAGGCATAAAGAATGTCGGGGCTCGACCCGTCATCTTCTAGATGCCGAATCTGTAGTTCGAAATTGTTGCTAAAGTCTATTAACCACAGAAGGATTCACATTTAACCATCTGACCACCTCTGTCTGATTTTCACCTGCCTCTAATCTCCAATGGACCTCCATCGCAGTACTACCGTCAAATGATGTTTCGAAATCATTGTAATGAATTATCTATTCCAGATTTCTTATGTCACTATCACAGCAAAAACTACAGTCTTACACTTAAACATGCATTTTTATGCTGCTTGTAGATGATACATTTCGATTGCAGCGCTACTATTCTGCATATTGCAGTTTTGTTCAGCATCTTTTGTTTAACAACATATTCAAATTTTATTGCAATTGGTTTATTTTCGAACGAATTTTTGCTATTTTTGTGATTATTAATTAATTTTTGGAAATCATTTATTTAGGTAGAATTATAACCGTTCGAATAGAATTCTAAGTCGGTTTCTCTCGGATCTCTCTATTGAGAACAGTTACAGCCAACCAATACAGCAGGAATTGGATTTTTATTGCGAGATATCAGACAAATGAAACTATATGGACGATCCAATTTCTGTCCCTTTATTATTTAATTGTGAGCGTCATAGGATCACAACATCAATAGGATGTGAAATATTGTCCAAAACTTCTCCTATTATCTTACTTCTCTGAGGGATCCGATCCGTCAAAGATGTAGGATAATCCTCTCGGCTTATGTCATGAAAAGATTTACAATTAAAAGTATTAATAATTAAATACTATATCATTTAATATAGACTTTACCACAGGAGAAATAAGCAAGGCCAATCAGCCAGAAATATTTTTTAGCGGCCTGAAAACTGTTCCTTACAGATTATCCACTGTATTTATTATGTAAATAGAAAATATTTTACATATTTTATTATTTAAAAAAATAGATACAGTACTTAATTTGCTGGAGGTATAAGAGATTAAAAAGATAAGTGATGCGGGCTTCTCTTGACTGTGCGAGACTTTGATTCAACATTTAAAAAATAGAAGAATTATTAAAAGACGAATTATTCTGCATTATATTGCAGAAAATTTCAAGCATATTAAATGCTTGAAACTTCTTAAATGTATGCGATAGGCCTACACAACACATCATATGAATAGGAATAACACATAATATTCTCTTGGAAAGTTATTAATATAAATTTAGAATATTTATAAGTTAAGAAATTTTTAAACAATTAAAATTCGCTCTTTGAATCGTTATTGTTAATTAAATTAGTTTATTAAAAAAATATATCTTAAAAATAATTTTATTATCTATTTGACTACCTAAAATAAATGTAAATTTAATGCCAGTATGTATTTATGTCAATTGAATGAAGAAAAACAAGAAATGTTATTGATCATCAGATGATTTTCTTCGTATTTGTTACAGACAATTTCTATTAATATATGGATTTAAAATGCATTCGATTTAACGAACACCCGGCAATAGCCGACACCCCTTTCTTCAAGCAATCCGTTAAATCGAGGGCGTAGACCTTCGATTTAACGAACTGCTGTATTGTCGTTTTAACTTTTTAAGTGAATATTTAAAAATCAAATTTAAGGTAAATCTATTCATAATTTTTTTTTGTAAAGGTTAAAAATTTCTTTATTTATTTTTAGAATTTTAGAATTAATCATAATAAATTGATTTTCAACATTTTTTTCATTTCGAGTTGTGAAGTCCAAATAACTCTTTTCGACAAAAATTTATATGTTTTATTTATTATTCTGACATTTCTACAAAATTAGAAAATTTATTTAATACAAAAACACGAAAAATTATGTGTCAAGAACTTGAATTACTCATAAAACGAATGAGTCAACATCTCTCAGATGAATAAAGATAAGAGCTGTTGTTACAGGAAAGCATTTATATCACCTTAATTTAAACTTAGCATTATTTTATAGTAAATTATATAATATTTATACACGAGTTATATTATACTACTACATATGCATAAATTTGTAAATAAAGATAAATTTAACTCAATTTGTAAGCTAAATTGTAGGATAATTTTATACATTACTTGACTTTTTAAAGTTCTTATAACTTTAAAATTCTATTAATTTTATTATATTTATATTAATTATGACTGATTATAAGAACTATTTCTCTCTGTACTTAAAGCTTAGTGTGAAATAATTGCACAATAATCGACAAATTTCTAAGTTCTTGTGAAATATTTTTGCAATATTTCTTATCTGTGATATTTTAAGAATGATTTTTTTTCAAAAAAAACTATTTTAAAATTCGAAAATGACCGTCAAGTTTAAGGTTAAATTATCATAGACTTCTGCAGTTCGTCTACTCTTTCACGTGCATCTCACACATATATAATTTCTTCCTCTTTGTATTGAAAGGACGAAAGTCGTGACGTCGCGCCGCGTGATTGATGAACGTGTATGAAATGATGAAAGAGTGGAAAAGTACGTGAATATTTTAAATACAAAAGAAAAAAAATATTCACTTTAACAACTATGATAGTATATAAATATTAAATGATGTAGTTTTTGTCCGTATTCATACAAAAGAATTGAGTTTTCTTTATAAATTTTAGGTTCCTGATATTTATCCTATGAATACTGCATTAAATGTAATAAAATACATTTTAATTCTCGCAATTAATGCTAATTATGAAATTTAAACTCTTATTTTATTTTACTTACTAATGAACCACAAAATTAAAGAATTCTTCTTCTAATAT